GAAACTAGATAAACTATGTGTGAAGTAGATTGGGTTACAAATATTTTATAATTGGCAATAAGTGATTTCTCTCATTATGATGTAGTGAGAGTGTATTCCTTGAGGACGTTTTTAATGCAATGGAGGATTTGGATGATTTGGATGGGATAGACAGATCATTTCAGTCAGTTTGTGCCAATTCTATTAAAGAATTTTACCAAGAAAGATAATAGGATCTTGGGTGATAATGAAGACAGGGAAGAGACTGAACAGGAAGTGATGTCTACTGGTTCTTCTGAAGAGGCAGAGTGGGAATCTGATGCTACTGATGAGCAACTAGTCTCCTTCCCTTTGTAAGTTCTCACTTGATATTCTATATGACCTGTATGAATGGGTGTAAGCATAGTGCACTGCCTCCCACCTCTAGTTAAGTCTGGCTGGGTTAGAGTATGACATTTGATAAAAAAATCTGGTAAAAATTGTACTCACATTTAACTACATTATCTGTTTCATCTCATATTTTTTGAGCATTCAACCACAACTACAATTCAATTCTACAATTCTAATTGTGTAATGTATAAATATATTCTTCCTGTAGTTCCATTCAAGAAGCTCACCCACTTGCCAAGAAGCTGAACAATCTTTTAGAACAAGGGAAGATACCTGAGAACTGCATGTATTACAAATTTTTAGATAATACAACATCATTTGCGTTGGCCGATCCTCGATCCTCATCTCAATTTAAATGGGATGACGATGTTTGCGAATTCTTTGATACCGATCAAATTCCTTGGAGGGCAAAGAACTCGAAACTTTATCCGGGGTCCTGGCTTTCTTGGAACAGGGCAAGGAGGAACCAAAACATTTGAAACATTTGCCAATTTCAACTTAGGAGGGCCATCCACTAATACTTCAAAGCGCTCACAGGCAGGATACACCACAATAAGTGGCATCATAAAGCCACACTTACAGTCATTTCTGTCCATTACCAGCGATTCTCATGCAGCTGTTGCCCCTCTAATCAATTGTGAAGTTGTCAAAGCTATCCCAGTAAGCATTGCCATGGACGGTACTGCTTTAAAGCCAGGTCTTGAGTTTGATACAAGGCGAAAATGCATCGTTGGGTTTGTAGCTGACAAATCACTCAGCTTTGTCGAGGCAAATCCTGTGCCAATAGCAAGTGAAATTAAGGACAACATAGTGACAAGTGCAAATGTCTTGTATGTGACGGCAATGGACAATGGGGCGTCTATGCCTGTTGGAGTGGACTACCTACCAAAGAGAAGGTGTTTGACCTGATCGAGAATGCAGTTAAAACTATACAGATTTGCAAGAGATGCCTTACTCGCCAGCCATCCACACAACACATAGTTGATAATCGAGACTCTGGATGTTTTAGTACTTGTGAAGAGTGCTTAGAAATGAAGTCTGTTTGCCCTGAGTGTGCTCAACAGGGGCAACTTAGCCACATTCCCTCACTTAGAGCATGTTCCAGCTGCCTTAGAGATAGCGTGCAGTGTTACCGTGCCGCTGTTTTGGCCGTTGCATCTGATTGCGAGTCTTGTAACAAGAAGGCATTGGTCAGGATCAAGAAACTGAAGACAGAAAACACCATTCCAACTGACATGCTATTAGTTGTTCCATTGCCAGATGTTGTGCATCTGGGCAAGAGCCTCAAATGCAGTTGGGCAAATTGGTATATTCTGCTGCAGGGCCAACGGAGCAACTTAGCTTTGATCCGTACACTGCGTGATTGTGACAAACCTGAAATTAGGAAAAAACTAAGAAAGGTTTTGACCTTGGATTCGGTGCGTAACAAAGATAGAATGGATTACAACAGTGTGGTGTTGTTAACTCGGCCAGAGGTTCTCAAAGTAATCGAGGCTGTCCAGTTGGTTGTCCATACAATCATGCCTGAAAAGTATCGCTACTGGAAAAGCAATATGCCAGGCATGTATCTTCACCCCGTGTCAATTTCAACGGGACCAATGGGTAAGCTGCTTGTGGTAGACCACGACCCAGTAAAGAAGTCCTCTAAGCTTTTGCTGTTGCGTCTTCATAACCCTGTTGATGTTGATGTCTTGGTTGAGGAACTGGATGATGCTAGAAACATATGTTTCTCGGATGGAGTCGCTTACGTAGCAGAACGAGGAGCTCAAGGAGTGAGGTATGTCGATATAGAAGGATCGGTGAAGCTGGACGTCAAGAGTTTACGTTCTAAGGATGCATTAGTAAAAGAACTCCGGAAGCGCGGCCTTTCAGAGGTTGGAACAGTTGCACAACTACGAACACGACTGGGAAATCATTTGAAGAGAGTTTTAGAGAGAGTGAACAGGAAAGACTTTGTAAACGTACATTCCAACTCCCCGAAGTTAGAGAAGCCATCGGCAGTTTGTTTTGCCACGTCGGGCATTCTTATCTGTGCTGACGATGGAACGAGAAAGATAATTCAATTATCTGTTACCTTTGACGGTGTCACTGTGAATGGCGAAGCTACTCAAAGCACACCATATCCCCGCGAGGTTGCTAGCGTACAGGATGTCACTGTGGTTAACAACACCATCTTCTTCACTGCAACTCTCGACAAACGTGACAATTCAAAACATGGAATGTTTCAAATTGACTTGGATAGTCTTGAGATGACAAGGGTTACAGGAGTTGCCGAACCGGTGTGTGTGTTACCATATCAACAGAATTTGATATATACTGAAAGACAACAAGTAAAGATGATCAGCATCGGCGATGGGTCTGTTAGCATCATCGCAGGAGCGGGGAAAGCAGGAAATGCAGATGGGCCTGCTGATTGTGCATCATTTACACAATTACAAGCTGTGTGTACAGAAGGTAAAAATATCTATGTCACTGACGTCGCAACGGCATCTGTAAAGTTAATTACAGGACTTTCTGGAACTGTGGAATTCCTTAAGCACATTGGTAGCTTGTACCATTCGTTTGGAATCCATACAAAGGCTTCAAAGGATAATGACCATGGCAGCATCACCATTGTCGCAGCAAAGTCAAATGTACATAGAGTGAACATGTACATACAAAGCACAGTAGAGGATGTTAAAAGCACTTTTGGTATTGGAGAGAAATCCACCAATGGCCCCGAAGGTACTGTTTCAACTTTAACACAAGAGTCACTTCAAATCTTAGATGAAGGCATGACTTCACTGGAGGAAACACTGAAGAATTATCCCACATACGATCCATTCGACCTCGACCTCTCGACATTGCTGACCACCATGGTAGAAAACTTGCATGCTGTGTCTCACTTCAAGAGTGAAACATTTAGCCTCCTTCGTTATGCAACTGATTTTGGGACCATTGTGAAAGAGTCTCTTAAGCGAGCAACAAAATGGTCCGCTAAGTATTACACTCATCCATCATCGTATTATCCTGTACCAGAGTGTAAGATGGCTTTTAGCGATGTTTCATTTATGACACCACTGCCATCGGTTGACATGCCGAAAGACAAACAGGATCTTATGCGTCAATGGTTGGAACCTTACCGACCAGTCCGCCAGCGAACTGTTCGCGGTGAAACCACGAAGGATAAGGCAGGCGCGCTGCCCCCTGGTATGTACATGCAAAAGTCGTCTGCACATTTATACCAGCCAGAAGAAAGCGATGTGCAAACAGACAATACACATCACGCTGAATGCATTGATCTCTCTGACGGAACGTGTTCAACCCCAAGTGACCCAAGTCATCTAAGCAATCAAAGTATAATGCCGATTGAATGGTTGGAATGGGAGCAAGAACAAGAAGACGAATATGACACAGATAGTGATGGAAGTGACCACGAGCCTATTGATGATGTGCATGGTGACGATGTATCAAGTCTACTAAACAGAGATGAATTATCCATGCTAAGACTTCATGAAGCTGCCGTGTCAAGGTCAGGGAGAACATTAAGAGAAACTGTGAGACTAGACCTTTGACGTGCAGAGGTACTGTAGGAGTTAATGCAGTGTCGTGTGGTGAGTATATGTGATATATATCAACAATGCAAATATCTATTGGAAAATATCTTTACTGACGCCATTCCTTACTACAGTACATCGCGCAATCCGGCTCAAAACCGCGGGGAATCTCGACGTTCATTTCTAGCATGATTTTAATGTGTTATAAAAAGGCAAGATAATGATCTGGCGTGCTCAATAAAGTTATTGAGTACTTGAAAAAAACCCGGAGAGCACTCAAATGCTATAGAGTTGGTCTCTGCTGTCGCATTGACTAAATCTTGCACATTTTTGTGTTCTCCCAACTTTCCCGCGTGAAAAATAAAAAGGTTTATTGTTAGGAAGAAATATTAACTGTTAACGAAAAAAATGTGCTGTTAAGTGTTAAACCGGTTTTTTTTGAACTGTTAACTGTTATCCAGACCCCCCCATCCAGACCCTCTGAATATGTAGTTGTAAACAGTATCTTTGTATTAAGGTTAAAAACATTTAGTTTGCTTGTTGAATAAAACGATAGACTTGATTTCTATTTGAACTTAACCACCGTTTAAGCTAAACGGGCTTGATGCAACCGGCCACTGATCATTACTGTATTAAATTAAACTAAATTGCTATTAATTTTCCTTTTTTACAAAATTATTGTGATTCCGCGTGTATTAGTTGTGTTTAACACCATACCCGCCTAGACTAGTTTATAACTACCTGCGGTTTGGTGTAGTTTTTGTTTGTATTTTTGTCTATTTAATAAACCTGTCCCAGTGCAATCTATCTCAAATTATTCTATTTACCGACGCTTGTGTGCTATTACCGACCGACGTCGCGTTTAACCGACCGATTTGCCAAACTGGGAGTGTAGCACCCAACACACAACACACCGCTCCGCACGTCACGCCCTGGGTTTAAATCCACCTTATTTAAGTTGGTTCTAAAACGATAGTGTTACGACGTAACTATTATCCCTGATGATTATCCCATGAAATATGCTCAATAAGAAAATTTGAATTGCGAGTTGTGGAAACACTGAAAAACCACGCCTCTTCGTTTATGGCGATCGACACAACGAATATTCCTTTCGTTTATTTTATGGAGCAGGAACTAGGAAGTTAATTCAAACTGAGAGATATTCTCACTGGTGGTAGTAAGCACAAAAACGTCGTTGTAAGTATAATTTTATTACCGTTTGTTTATTTCTATGTTGGGTTGAAATGTAGGCCGCTATTTCAATAAAGAGAGTGCATCATATTTTTTAATGGCGTACGAACTTAGTACATTTCAAGTTTAATACAGCGCCGAGTATCGTAACTAAGAAAATTTTCCAGTACCCTCGCTATTAATGGTCAACAATGTGTTTTTTTGCAAAAAAAGTATGAGATAACATCCAATTCTGAATGTTCTATAACATTTGTTTCTTGACAGAATAATTACTGCTCGTGTTTTTAAGTACAGTATTGCTTTTATGGAGACTGATAAATAAATGTCCAAAGCAACAGGCCAATAGCAATGAAATCTAAGCTATAGCTTAGTTGAAGAACTTAACTGTACTTTGACGCTACGAGCGAGTATCTTTATCCCTTATTGTCGTTAGTCTGGAGGTAAAATATATTAACAATTCAGAATTATGAGACACCAGTCCAAAGGAATATGAGTGTGGAATAATAAATTGGCATTTCTGCATACATCGAAAGTGTATTGTAATACTGAAGGGTGGTTATATTACTTTCTGTTTTCTGTATTTGTGAATAGCATATCAGGAAAGGGTTTATGTTTTAAGTTCAAATGAGTTGTTGGCTTGTTGCATCACGTTCAGGGAGATGGGATGTTTATAATGGTTTACAAGAGCTGCAGTGGATACATGCTATAGCAACCGCACACAATTATGCATAAATTATTCTAACCTTAGCAGTTACTGTATTAAGGATTATAATAGACCTTTTCCGTAATTATGTCACAAGATTTTAATATACTCAGATAAGGCCCAACGAGGCTAGGCGAGGCTTAGTGAATACTATAACTATAGTAACCTAATTAGTTATGCCTGCTGCGGATCGGTAGGGATGGAGACAGCAGCACGGCGAAGCGAACGAGCTCGGCAAAAAGAACGAGGTTGGCGATGCGTAGTCTTTACTGTCATTTTCAATCATGCGTATGTCCATCAGATATGGAACCTAAACGGTACCCTCTCCATTTCGTGATCACACTGTCACACGGAATCACGGAAGTGAAAGCCATAGAAGGAAAACATGAACACACACGATGCACACATAGTAAATAATTAGATACATACCGTAGGAGTCTTTGCAAACCAACTGAACCTAGAGAAGCTAAACTAAAAAACAATAAAGGGAAACCATCCCCCGAAGGGTGGAATGTCAAGGGAGGAAGGCGGGGCGAACGAAGCGATAATAAGCAGATAAACAACAAGGCAAGCCATATGAATACTAAGGCCCAGGGAAAATACCCCCGTGCCAAACACCCGGCTAGGAACCCACGCGAGGGCCAACTCTTCAATATTAACTCTTTTATTATACTAATAAATACATTTAACATCACAATGTTTTGAATTTAGAACCACCTTAAATGAGATGGATTTTAAGTTTTACTTTCAGCAGCTGCAACATCCTTCTTCAACACATGCATGAAAAATATTTTATTTTGACCAATAAATGTGGAAATAAGCCATAACACAAGAACGTGGCTGAGGGGCCAAGACAGCAAGCCTTGTTCTCACGTTATGGCTTATTTCCATACTTATTTGTCAAAATGAAAAATTCTTTTTCATGCATGTGTTGAAGAAGGATGTTTTGCATTTTTGCACGTGGCTTGTGGCTTGAAATCAATCTCATTTAAGGTGGTTTGAAATTTAAAGCAATAATGTTGTGATGTAATTACCGAAAAGGTCCATTGATGATATTTGATATATAATTGATAATAACAAATGTTATAAAACATTTGCAATATATATGCAGTGACAAAGAAAAGTAGCCCCAAAGAAATGTAGCACACTTATATATATATATATGTCCCACATAATGAAGCATTATACCTACAATTCCTATGATTTGCTACTTGATTTAATTTTTCACATTTTAAAACCACCTATATGCAGCAAATGTTGTGTCTCTAAAGCTAACTGTGTCTGGGAAACTTTGCATATATTAAGCATTGTTTTCAACCATGTTATAACTGACAATGAAATTAACTGATCAAAAATTAGCACCGTTTTTTGGCCAGTCTGCATATTGAATAATGTGAATTATTTTGGTAATAGTTTTATAGTAAAATATTAGAAGTTACTATTGCAAATGAAGTGCTGCCTCAAAGAGACAGCAGATTTGGGGCTATATGAATTTAATAATAAAACTTGTTTAATTAAGGGTGGGAGTTGAATTAAGGGAGTTGAGGTCCAAAGGGTGATAATTTATTTGAGGCATCCCAAAACTAGCTATTACATCCTTGTTGTTCTTCCATTAGTTATATCAGATATACATATATATTTCGTTATTTTAAGCCGGTCATCATTTATAAGTCCTCATTTAGTTGATGCAAGATTAATCTCTTCTCATTAAGATATTCTGTGCAATGGATGTAATGTTTAGTTGGGATTTCATTCAAGAAATTTCAAAGGTTGGTTAGGTGCTGTAAGAATACCATTTAATTCATTTGAAAGACTCTAGACACAGGAAAAAATGTGAAATAACTCCGGCTGTGAAATAAGATTTTGTACAAATATTATAATTTGATTCAATTTTAAATTCTCATTACATTACTTTGCTTGTCAATTTTAGCAAGAAAATTCCTGTGTTTCTATACAGTTTAGAAACACGTTTCTCTATCAATCAGCATGTGGGTACTATAAATGTTATATTATAATATATATATAGACTTCCTATTGAGCTCAAATCCTGTGCAATGAAACTAAAGATGTTTGGTTCTGGATTTCTTACTCTATTTGGTGTCAGTCTATTCTTCCAATGTGATGGTAGGATTTTTAATTTTCATACCACATTTATTATATGACTTGCATGCTGTGCATATTTCATAATTCAATTTATATATGCAATGTTTTATGCACTTAAGGTGCATAGTTCAGCATATTTGTAAAGCAGTTTTTTTCGGCTTTCACAAGGCAGCGTTAACATTTTTCATTTCTCGAACAAGCCTAAAAATTGCCTATATTTGGTTACAGATTTGGCATGTCATTTCATATTCAGTTAGAATCTTTTTGTTTAGAAAAATTAGTATTCCTTTATGTCTTTAGGTCGAATCACGTCACCGCCTGATGGGAAAATTCTTACCTTGTTAAATGGATCAACAGCAAATATAACGTGGTCGTTTGATAATGATTTATCAGCAGTAAATTTACGTGTTTGGAAATTCACAAGTAGTGATGGTGTATTCAATGATGATCGACTTGGAAGAATAATTGACAATGACCCTCCTTCAAAAATAACTCGTTTACTTGATGTTGCAATTGAAAGACCCGGGACATTGCTTTTAAAGAATGTTAATCAAACTTATGATGGAACATACAAGTTTTCAATTGAAACTGAAACATCTGCAGTTGTCGTTTATATTGCAAGTAAGTAGCTTTATTTAATCACCAATTATAGTAATTACTTGTTTGACAAAGCATTGACAAATATACAAGGTGTTCCAGTAAAAGCGGAACCCAAATTAATTAATTCGTATGTATTCACTAAAATTATATTCAAACTGTCGTCGTTATTTTTTAGAATAATTTAAAACTTATCAAGCTATGCCTCTGGGAGTTCACATGTTTTGAACTCCTAGCAAACTGTTGCATTTATGCTATACTACAATTTTCACGATAATTTATTGAAATATAAGTTAGGATAATGTCCAAATGTTTCTTAATTGCGAGCAGTGCTTTTCTCATTGTTTGCTGCTATGTTGCAATTTTGCATAATTTAGACACATCTATAAATACGCTATTAACTTTGAACGTGTAATCTTTGCTTATATATTATATTTCGTTGTTTAACTGAATCCGATACAATATGTTTTACTCTCGCACTATGTTATTGTCCTCTCTTTATGTCCCCAATTAAGATAATGTTAATCATGCATGGCTATAACGCTTATTGCATTAACGTTTATTGTTTAACTTAGCTGTAGCCAGATTGGTAAAACTCCGGCGCTTTCCGATTACGAGTTGATCTTCTTGAGGGAATTGGTGGTGGTATTTCTTCTATTCGTTCGCGTTGACGTGGTAACACCCCATGAATTCAATGTTGTTTTGAATTCGGATGCTTCGCAGTGCACCATTTGTTGTGGATAACTCGTCCAATATATTTTGAAATGGTTTGGGTAGTAGCTGGAGTTGGTTAGTTGCCAATGCGTGTTTGATTTGCCATATTTCTTGGTCTGCTAGGGAAACTTGTCTAATTTCTTCTGTGTCCATAGCACACGGTGTCATTTGTTGCAGACATATCGGTCAGCGCATGATTCCATATTACTACGTGTTGTAGTTGGTAGTGGGAGTCTTGACAATGGATCTGCCAGGTTTGTCACTCCTGCATGGTCGATAAAAGACTGTAAAATCATATTCTTGAAGGCTTAGAATCCAGCGTTCAATTCTAGCTAGTGGTGGTTTTTGGGCTGCAATACCATATAAATAGGTATGAAAATGCTCGCAACCAAAAACTATTGCTTCTGTGTCGGTTAGTGATCTACTGGCGTAGGCTACTGGGCGGTAAGATATGTCAGACTGTTGCTGGAGGAGTACTGTTCCAACAGCCAGAACGGGAGAGCTGCTGAGTGATGTCTTCAACTTGTCGAAGGCGGTCTGATGATGTTTAGTCCACTGAAACTGGGAATTTGCTTTTGTTAGCTGACGTAGGGGGGGGGGGGTTATACTGCTGTAGCTGTCGATGTAACGAGAACAATAGTTAGTAAGTCCGAAAAAGGACCGAACTTCTGCTGCGCACTTTGGGCATGGTGCTGTGAGGACGGCGTCGATTTTGGCATCGTCTGGTTGTATGCCTTTGCTTGATACGATGTGTCCAAAAACATTAATTCTTGGGCTAGCGAACGAACATTTTTCTTTACGTAGGGTGAGGCCACTAGTTTCAAGGGTTGCTAACAGGTTGTCGAGATCTTTCAAGTGTTGGGTCATGTTTTCAGACCATAGCCAGATATTATCAGATATATTTGCACAGTTCGATACGTTTCTAATGATATTGTGTATTTCCTCGTGAAAATATTCCCCGGATTGACACGCTCCCATGATCAGGCTTTTAAACCGATGTGGCCCGTTGTCTGGGGTTGGGAAGGCTGTGATTATATATCGAGATTCAGGGGCCAATGGTATTTGCAAATATCCCTGAGAAAGGACGACTACTGCGAAGACCTTTGCTCCTTGCATTTTATTTACAATATAATCAACTATTGGTTTTGTACACGTCGTCGTTTTAAAGCTTGATTCGCATTTCCAAAACTACACGAACATCGCCTGATTTCTTAGAAACTGCAATTTAGTACCTTTCCCATCGACGTTTGTTACTTTGCTATTGCTTAGTGTACTTGAAAATCCGACGCATTACATGTGTGACTCATGCAGTGATAATATTTATAGCTTCGATAACGTGAGCACGTACTCAAAGGTTTTCCATTTCTGCATATCATCTCCAATGGCCGGTTATTATTTTAATCGTTAAGGTTGGGTTTGTTCCCCGACTGCTTTTCTTTAATATGACTTATAGATCGTTAATCAGAAAGAAAATAAGAATGGCACACGTGAAGATATGATTATTAGCCCCCCTCCCCATGCACCCCAATTAAGGATCATCCACGGTCCCATTAGTTATAGTAAAAACCACTTTCTTGAAATTAATGTATGAGTCCCTCCGCTCCCTCTGTGCCTCTCTTCTTTTCGCTGTAATGGGCGTTTCTCCAACCTTTAGTATAAACCCACAACACAAAATCAGTACTACTTGCTGTAATTGATGCATATGTGTTAATACATTTCAGAGAAACCAAATGTTACACTGGATTGTCGTAACTGTCCCGTTAGGCCAGATGAAGGTGATAACTTCACATGTCTGTGTAAAAGTAAAGGTGGAAACCCTCCTCCTAATGTTACCTGGTATAAAGATGGAGTCAAAATTAGTGATGTTGGAACAGTGAATCAAACGTTAAATATCTGGAATATTAATAGAAAAGATACTGGAACTTATAAGTGTGTGGCTACCAGCTACCCTAATATAAATTATACTGATGAAAAATCATGCCAAGTGATAGTTAATTGTAAGTAGTCATATTTAATTATATACCCAGAATCTTTTTAAGCAGTAAAACAGAGCGGAGACCCACACCGGAAGTGACGTAACACTACAATACATTGAGTATATAATTTGTTGGACAAGCTGTAACTAATAGGCCTTTCATTACTTTTTAGTTTAGGCACAAAATTGCCAAAAGATCACCACAGCTAAAAAGAGCGTACTAAAATTATTCATGTCAAAATTTTAAAACGCCAAAAATATAGGAAAGTTTGCAAATTTTGCATACTTTTGCACCATACGCGCGGAAAATGTTACCAATTTTTCTGCATGAATGTGGTGAGTGATGATGCTCTTTAGCTTCACAATGTTCTCAATGTAAGCCCCCGTCTTACGTTTTGCTGTTGCTGTTCACATTTTTGCCGTTTTCAAATTTTTGGCATTCAGGGACAACATTGATTATTTAGAAGATAATATACTAGCTGTATACAATAAATTTCATGTTCGGCGATTGGGGGCTATATTTATGTGAAGAACGAACGTCGCACTTCTCTTGCGCTGAACACGTAAAAACTATGGATATAATGAGGACTTTCAGTTTATTATTATCTATTCTTTTTAAAACAAATTGTTAGTCAAACGAAACAAGTTTATTTAGGAAATATTTTATCAGGTATGAAAAAATGTTCGGACAATTTGGTGTACATGAAGTCCGCAGAGCAACGAGCTTTTTTCATCCTAGCTCTATGCCTAGTGATTATATATTGAAATGGTAGAGCGGTTTCATGCGAAATTGATATTTCATGTATAACTGATATTTTTCATGATAATTTGCATGAAAACAACAACATTGTCCACGTCTTGTTCTAGTTTGCAGCAGTCTTGATATATGGGAGTTTACGACTCAGTTACGACGCGGTTAGCTCGACGACGCTAGTCAATAGATTAATTACGAAGTGGCTACTCGTAATTATATATATATATATATATATATATATATATATATATATATAATATATATTATTTATATATATGTAGAGAGAATTCACTAAGTTCAAATAACAAGACTTTGTTCTTTTTACAGTCAAACCAACGAATACAGAAATTAAATTTTCACAGAATCCGGCTGTGGTTAACCAAACAGTGAAAATAACGTGTGCTTTCGAAGGCCAACCTAAGGCAACCTATATCATATACTATAATGATACTAAGGTTGTTAGTACTAACATGCCGTATTTTAAAAACGTTACGCTGGAGGATGCTGGAACATACAAATGCATTGCAAATAATACTCTGGGAAACGACTCCGATTCTAAGATTTTAAACGTCACCGATAGTAAGTATATTTTACACTTTTCAAACGTTGGGCTTGATAATACTTTATGCCGTGCTCAACCTCATTCAACCTTTGTTATGTGTGATACTTGTATTAGTAATAGCATTGCATGAGGTCGATTAGTAATTAATGTACAAAATAGCCAAGTTGATTAAGGAGAGTTAAATCTTTGGAGTTTAATACGATACAATACACAAAAGAGGGGTAAACTGTTTCCCCCACTTCAATCAACTATGATACTTCATACAACCGATTCGTGCCCTAGGCTAATAGAGCCTTGTACCTGAAAGCCAGTTAAACCTTCGGGGTTTACTGTACCACTATTGTAGTGATATATGCCACTCCCAATGTACTGCCAAAAAGAAGGGATTCTTTTTTGTTTTAACTAATTTGGATAAAAATAAACCCGATACGATTACTATGCCAACATCCTGGTAATTTAAAGAATTCATTTACATTAATTTATAGACACTAATATAGCATGCACCTGTATATTTATCCCTTTCAAATATTTTGTCAAATCTGATGTTTATTCCTTTTAAATTGTGAAATAGAACCAATACGAACAACGCCTCCAACACTTTTTCAGTCAACGTATACACAGGCAATACAGCCATCATCAACAGTACAACGTACAGTACCAAGCAACAGTGTTACACCTGCAGAACCAGGTATAACATCTATGATGAAACGGTCGTGTGTGTTAACTTTATTTTCCTAATTATTTGCCTTTTTTTATTAATCCGTTATAGCCCTGCTTTTTATGACCATCCTTCTTAAGGATGAAGATATCCGATGTTGAACTCAATGAATTGGAAATTTAAGGCCTATCGGCCTTAAATTATAAGCATTTTGCTTGCCTTTTTATAGGTGAAAGTGGACCAAACATTCCTCTTATCATCGGGCTAGTTCTTGGTGGGGTTGCGCTTATTGCCATTTGTGGGGTAGTTTATTGTAAATTCAAAGGAAGTAAGTAATTTCATTTCTTAAGGCACTTGCTAGGCCAGCACATTTTTACCATTTGGAGATATGATTTAACTTTTGATGACTGCCAGGTGATTTTAAAACACGGAGAAAGAACTATAGAACTATACATAGAAAAAGCATCACTAATTTAGTAAACTCGCAACGTTCTCCGTTGCTTAGTGCTCCGAAATCACCACAGCATGGTCCCAAGTTGCATTTTTCACAACAGAATGAGTCTCAATGATTGATATTAATATGAGTAAGGATTTATACAATGAGTTGGGCAGGTATGCCTTCGTTCGCCTATAAAAAATATAAACAATCAGTCCAGTTATTTATTTATTTACATGCTGTCTTGATCGCGATTCTTGATCGTTAATGCTATGACAGTCTACATCTTCATGCATAATATAATTTTTTCACAATTCTTATCTTTTGTTATTTTAGACGAAAGGGAAGACAAGAAAAGGTAGGTAATCTTTTATTCATATATATATATATATATATATATATATATATATATATATTATATATATATTATATATATAATATTATTATATACAGGGTGTATCAAAAAAATGTCCCAAATGTAAAATTTCCGTTTTTCAGGATATTTTGGAGAATTTGGCAAATTTTTGTGTTCCTAGAGATAGCTAAGACTTATCTGGTATACCTAAGCCAAGTTTGGTTTTTCATTAACAAAATTAAGTTCCCGGGGGGGTGGTTCCTTTCCACTGATATTGAGAGGGCTTGCGCGCAAAAATGTGAAGCTGAAATTGAGATATTATTTAGCTGTCTAAAAGTAGGAAAGCTTTTTAATAAACTGTCAAAGTTTTAGGAAAAATAATGCAAACTGGGAGCAACGCGCGACCCCTAAAAGTGACAAATATTCCATTGCGTGCAGTGGATTAAATGCATGGTTGATTTTAGCGTGACCGATCTCATGCAAGACTGGGCAAATGAATAAATTAAAGCGAGAAACTGAACAAGAAGACGAAGCGATTTAATAACAAGATTTTTATTCTTGATGTTAATCCCCAACATTTCCACCATTTCTTTCTAAGCAAACTGCGGCTCGTCTGAGCATGGTAAACTCTGAACGGCGAACCACATTTGTCTGTCCTGCCTCCTATTATCCATTTCGTTCGAAATTCTTTCTTGCAAATCGCCTACGCTACCACCGGCAAATCTAGGCGAATGGACAAATGGTTCGCTGTTCAGTGTTTAGTATGCTCAGACCAGCCGCAGTTTGCTTAGAATGAAATGGTGGACATGCTGAGGATTAACATCACGAATAAATAGCTTTGTTTTTGTGCTCAGTTTCTCACTTTAATTTATTCATTTGCCCAGCCTTACATAAGATCGGTCACGCTAAAATCAACGATGCATTTAATCCACTGCGCGCAATGAAATATTTTTCACCTTTAGGGGTCGCGCGTTGCTCCCAGTATGCATTATTTTTCCTGAAACTTTGACAGTTTATTAAAAAGCTTTCCTACTTTTAGACAGCTAAATAATATCTCAATTTCAGCTTCACATTTTCGCGCGCAAGCCCTCTCAATATCAGTGGAAAGGAACCACCCCCCCGGTAACGTAATTTTGTTAATGAAAAACCAAACTTGGCCTAGGTATACCAGATAAGTCTTAACTGTCTCTAGCAACACAAAAATTTGCCAAATTTTGCAAAATATCCTGAAAAACGGAAATTTTACATTTGGGACATTTTTTTTGATACACCCTGTATATATATATATAATATTATATATAATATATATTATATATTATATATATATATATATATATATATATATATATATGTATATATGAGTTCTACTATGAGTTCGTCGTTTATTCACATCCTTGCAAATGTGCGAGCTTCTCTCGTTTCACCCAATTATTCTGACCATTACAGTCGCAAGTGTTGGTATGGTTTGCAAACTGTCTGTTTTTGTGCTACCTTAGGCTTAGAGGAAATGCCGACGTGAACCCGAATGGCTCAAGAGTGATTACAAACCAGTACGAACTGGAGGAAGATCATGGTGAAGATGCAGGCGCCTACGATACGGTGAAACAATCCGATGATGGTGAAGGCTTGCAGGATAGAAAGAAGCCTGCTGGAGACTCACTCCCCCCCGTTTATGCCTCGGTAAATAAGGACAACAGACAAGGGAACACGGTAGGTGAAGAGGAGAAACATGATTTCACAAAGAGGTGGCGGGTGTACATTTTGCCGGAATGCATGACCCGGAAAGAAGATTGTTTTGCATCAGCTGGTTTTGTGCTATAGTCCTTCAAAAATGCCAGTTTCATTTGCTTTTTATATGTAGTTTTTGAATTTTAAAACTATCCTGGTATACATTTCCGCTTTCTTATTGTGATGAAAGTGAAAAATTTGCTTGACCACGGTGGGGCTAATTTTCAGTTTGCCCGGTTTATAACTCATAGTAGCACAATAACAATATGAATTTACCTAACTAAGACATACACACAGCCATTATCCTTAGTCTTGTTTGCAATGGTGATTTAAAAACAGAATGAACCAGATAATCTCTTGTGGTGCAACAGTGTAAGATAAGGTTTGTCACCTGAATGAAGGTTGGAGGTATTTACTACAATTTACTAACTTTATTGACATCATATCATAATATGTAATCTTGCAATGGGTCCAGCCAGATTAGACAAGGCAGTGATGTGTGATAATAATCAACCTATAAAATTCATCATCACTAACAACCATGCACGGGGAGGGGATATAATCAGGAACAGTCTGAAAATTGGACTATATGTAGACAGTCAAGTAGATTCTACCAAACCTTTGCTTGGTTGAGAAGCTTCCTGCTATCCATTATTTGGATTTGACGTTGAAATTTGCGCCCTTTCTGAACACATTTTTACTATAGCATTAGGGGAGAGGAACCCCATTAATATGATATACAAAGTACAGTATAAGCATAGGACAAAGAGTTGTGTGTTCCTACCAACAATATAGATAATATCATCACTATATATTACAATCTTAGACAATCAGTTTTATTACAATCTTAGAAAATCAGTTCTATTAACTGTGGTTTTTATTTTGCAGTTGTATGCATCTCTGGATTCTGAGGAGTTGAGGAAGCCTGGGTCGAGGAGAAAACAACCGGAAACAAAAAATGCACCAACTGAGTATGCGAGCATCGACTTCATGCAGACTGGGAAGACACCAAATGCAGATAATGCAGAAACTGGAGATGGCAAAGAGTAAGTGAGTTATTTTAGTTATTTTTATTTAAGCTTGGTTCTCAATAGCTATATAGTTAAAACATGAAATTATTCAACAAATCTTCATTAGAAATATTTTTTAATGTTGCCAGGGAAGAGCTAGGTATTATACATGCACGGATATTGTTGTCAACCCACCCCCCCCTGGTTGCATGTCAAATTAAATATCGTCTTTTGAAATGGGTTGTCTGATACCGTCACTTCTGCAGGAAGACATTAACTTATATTTCTTGTAGAATGAGTCGTATATTTATAGACAGAGGGTTGTTTTTGCATGGTACTATATCAACACTATACTTACACAATTACACAGATTACTTGTTCTGTATGCTATATCAACAAATATCATAACTTCAAGTCGACTGACTTGTCTTCTATTTTACAGGAGAAGTTGATTCGATTTTGCAACATTGGCAAAGCCAGCAGTTTTTAATGCGGTTTCAGTTTCCCAATAGACGCATATAATTAGCCTTTCTCACGATAACGAATATGCGCCATTTTTGAGGTAGTTTTCTTTAATTTGTGAGGGCAAGACCTTGTCAGGGCGGCTGTCTTTAATTTTAGGCTTAATTTATTTTTCAAATGGTTTATGGTCTATTATTGTTTAAACGCATTTAAGAAAATTGAAAGTACCCCAAAAATGGCGGATATTCGTCATCGTGAGAAAGGCTAATGATACCTAGTCGCTGAGTGTGCATACTCTATGGATGAAATTCCAACTTGACTCCTTTTTGTTATGGTTTGACAATCGATTGAGCCAATTTGTATGTCTATGCAGAGAGGTTCCAGAATTTGATTCGATATAATTATATCACTGTTTTTGGCAATAATGGTGTGCTGTCTAAAAAACTGCGGAATTTTAGGAACACGAGAATATGTAATAGCGTTTTTCTGTTATATTACTATATGTGTATTCACGATTTGTTTTAATAGTTAGTTTTATATAACAAGTATAGTTATTAGTGTCACGCCATAGGTTGTGATTTATATATTGACGAGAGCTTACTAACTTTTTTGCCTTTTTTATTTTCAACCAATTTAAGTTCCCTGTTGACAACCTAGCCTTAAACTCTATTGCTGCATGGTTGCATTAATAGCGGATATACCCTATCAAAGTTTCTACAATCCAGTAATCACAGGACTGCTTTTAAAAGCACCGTCAGGCGACTGCATGTGATCGATAGCTTCTGACTTGAAACTCAAGATTCTTGAATCTGATTTCAAAGAGAAATTTGGCAGAAAACGTTAGTAAGTTACCGTCTTTCTATTTTAGATTCAGGGATTGCATGCATAATATAATTATGTTAATAACTTAGATATATGTGCTTAGATATAAGGGATGATAATGGTCTTTAATTATTCGCACAATATTCTATGTATATACTGTATACCACAGCATGACATGTAAAATATGTTGTAACCTGATTAATTGCATTGATTGCACAAAAATAATAGAGATAATTATAATATATGTTTTTTTGTTGTCCTATCATAACTGGCTTCAGATACATGTATTTTCTTCAAAGTTAATACTTTGGTACCGGAAAATATCGCATATGGTTATGACACTGTCACTGCTTACACTGTGGTTGCTGACTTGCATTCGAACGGCTGGATTGATGTCCAATCACGTGCCGTGTTTGTAGAGTTCACCGTATACAACGCGAATGCAAACCTATTTGGCATCGTTTCGTATTTTGTGGAATTTCCACAATATTCAGCTCCTGTCACCAGGGTCCAATACCAAGTTGCGCGGTTTTATCTTTACCTCAGTGGCGGTAAAACTCTGGCTCAAGTCCTGGTCATCTTCTTCATGATGTATTTTCTCTTCAGAGAAGGAAAACTCGTTTACAAACAACGCTGGTCTTACTTTAAAGATTTCTTGAATTGGGTTGAAGTCATCCTCCTTGTCAGCGAATTCCTATTGATCGTCTTATTCCTGGCACGTCTTTACGAAGTTGATCGAAATCCTCTTCAGCTACGGGAGAATCCAAATGATTACGTTGGTTTCCAATATGCTGGGAATGCAGACGCCATGATGACCTACATCCTTGGTGTCCTTGTGCTCTTATAATAGCTGCCTTTTCACTTTTATAGCACTACAAGTAATTGTAATTCTCACAATCTTCAACCGGTTGTTAGATCAACAATGACTAATACATATGATAATATAAAAACTATACCGGTATAATAAATACTGTTTTGTGTATAATTATATGGTTCGTGTTTGCTAGTTATTTTTGCCTTGTTTTAATATGTTCACTAGCTATATCTTTTGGTGGGACTATCAAGGAATTTTGAAGCACCGACTAAGGAATTCTCTGCTTTGATTCTGTCCAGACCCACGGTGACGGTGGTTTGCGCCGAGTCGTCGACAAAGGGATTGCTACCATCGTGCAGGAAGTAGATTTTAAATCTAACTAGTCGGGGTCGAATTCGATCAGTTAAGACGAAAGTATAACCTGGTTTTAAGCAAAATGTTTTTGTCGTATTCTGTATCGTAGTGTATTGTATTCGATCTATTGTGACAACGAGGGCGAACGTTGTAATGACTTGGTTGTGATTTTATACGCTTCCTTATACACGGGCGAACATCGCTAGTCTAAACATTTAATGTCACTACATATTTGTCTGTCTGTCTGTGTGGGTAAGTATATACGACTGTAAATCAATATGGAGACCATTGAAGAAACGTGATGGTTATTTAACAACACATTGGTCAAGGTTATAAAAAGTTGCATGGTTGAATGATGTATAATAACATCAAACAATACTTAGTACAAAGTACTTTGAGGCAAAGCGGCTCGAAGTTAATAAATTGGCAGTATTAATGGCAATATGATAGCGAGTTTATATATCTTATGCTGCAGAGTGTATTGAGAAAAGACAATACCTTTAGAGCAATCTGCTAAACCGCAAAGGGTGCGGGAACACAATTGAATTAAACTCTTATAATCGGGCGCGTATATAATCTGATAATCAGGTGCTTAACAGTTAATTCCTAAACGCCCCCTCCTTTTATAAACTTGCCTGGAAATTCATTGAATTTCTTCCTACATGGTGCCCGACTCACTGAAAGGACCGAAAACTACTAAAATCATCTATTTATTGAATTTTAAATCCTAACAGTGTACTAAACGTAACGATATGTAAAAAGTGCGGACAGAGTGAATGACTATTGGCTTTTTACGGCGCGTTTATACCCGGGGTTTATACGTCGTATTTCATACGCGGTGAGGTATAAACATACCAACAAACTGCCTGTTGAGATGAGGCCAATTACATGCTATTAATTGTTAGGATGATTACAGGATCATGTCAGGATCTACGGCTACGCTTCGTTAAATCTCGGGTAAACGGGCTCATGTGAACCTATAAGAAACCTGTTTTTTGTCATTTTTTCATCGCACATGCATCGCAGATTATAAATTTAAAAAGTATAAATCGTGCTAAATAGTTCAATTGCTTGTCGTAATGACAATCACAAAGTCAAAGAAACCAGAACTCAATCAAACAATCTGTTAACGCTTTATCCCAGTTATTACTTGTTTTTGGCATACCGGCGCGCGTCTTTGCACAGTCACAGAACAATAATAACATCCATCGTGACTTGTAATAGAATTGTTTACGTTAACTTTGAATTTTTCATGTGCTAAATACTAGTTACATACAATAAAAACAATGTATAATGAGCTAAAAATTCCTCATCTATTAGCAGTAAACTAATAACTATGATTCTTTTGATCATTTTTACTCAGGTTTACCGTTAATGATGACATGGTTTGATATTCTTATGCTATTTGGACTCAATTGCATGTTGCTTCCATGTGAAGGTTTGGTCAATTTTCGCTTTCATAAATTAAATAGACTATTGTATTTGTTCGATTTGGATGAAAACGAGGTCATATGATATATGGACAAAATAATGTAATTTTCGTAGGCTTCTTCTACCTCATTACGAATAATTTTTTTGTATGCTATGATCATGAATGACCAACAATTTGATTATGATATATTATTAATTTTTATGCACGAAACGCTTCTTTATTCTTTAGAGCTTATATAGATTCCAAAACACTGATTAAGGTTTTTCGATCTTTTAGATCTTTAATCTTCTGATCACATACTTTCGACAGTGTCTCAGAATAACTCAGGATTGAAATATTTTTATGATTTTTAGGAGTTGTCTATCCACCATCTAGTGGAAAAAACCTGATTTTTCTACCTGGATCAAATGCAAAAATTGAGTGGACATTTGATGATAAAATAACTAGTGATGATTTTCGAATTTGGAGTTTCACAAGTACGGACGGTTCCTTTAATTCAAGAATCCTTGCTTTTATACGGGGTAATGGTAACGCTACGATACGCGTCAGCTTCCCTGTGATTTCAATAGAAAAGCCAGCAACATTAGTTTTAAGGAACGTTGATCGCCGTTATGATGGAAAATACAGGCTCAGAGTTAGTGCGGTTACGGAAACTAATTCTGAGGTTATCGTGATTATTGCAGGCAAGTTTCTTTTGAGAATGAAAAAAGCATAGTAACATTGATAGTTAACTGATTGCCTGATGTTCATCATTATACGTTGAAATTATATAAATCACAAACGTGAAAATTATATTCGGCGTGACTTCGGACTCTTAACGATTTCATTACATTTTAGTTGCACCAAATATAACATTCAGTTGTTTCAATTCAAGTACGGTAAACGAAGGTGAAAATTTCACATGTGTATGTAAAGGAGAAGGTGGCAGGCCGACTGCTAATGTTACTTGGTATGATAAAAATGGCGTCCAGATTGGTGTGACAGGAAGAGGAAAACAGTTATTGACACTAACTAATGTCGATAAAACCCACAGTGGAACTTACACGTGCAAAGCTCAAAGCCATATCAATGCAACAGATAAAAATTCAATTGAAATAAGAATTAGACTTATCTGTAAGTAGTTCGTACTACTTTTTACTATCCGCAAAAGTTACCTCGTCAATACAGCATTGTTATTTGAAAGCAGGCGGGGGCCATAGTTAGAAGCTTAATTGGAGAGGGGGGTGTATATTCATTTAAGTTCATGTTTACGTATTATAGGAACAATAGGGTAGCTACAAAAGAAATCAGCCATGATTGGGTCGGGCATAAGTGATAAGACGAAGTGTATCTTATCCAGCCGGGCGCTTTTATATAAGCGATCCTGCATGATCTTATCTGCGGAAGCATGCGCGCAGCAACATTCGAGTGGGTTTCGTGGCTGTAGTGAGGGACCATGCAGGTAAATAAAGTAATAAGTGAATGTCTACGACTATGAACATTTAGCGAAAATTATAGCGAAAATTATATGAAAATTTTTTCTTTTTTTTTTTCTCATAAACTTGGTCTGATTAACTAATGGAAAATATTTTTATTACGACTTAAAAGCTGTTACAAAGAACCCTCTGTTTCTTCGCAGTCAGGAAACCAGGAAAAACAAAAATTAAATTTACTCCAGAAAAAGTTGTACTTGGTCGATCAATAAACATAACGTGTGAATCAGATGGTCATCCTGAACCAAGTTATATCATAACTCATAATGACACAGAGGTCAGCAATGGGAAAACGTTCACCATACATGATGTAAACTACACTCACGCTGGAAAATACAAATGCTTTGCAAAGAATGAATTTGGAAATGACTCTGCCTCTGATTTCTTAGTCCTAATCGGTAAGATTAAATTTTAACGTTTCTTTGCCCATTCAATTGCCAGTACACGTGACTTATGGAGAACAACACATTTGGACTGATTTAGTGGGCTTGAATGAGCAATATATAGATGCGTCAACCTAAGCCAGCCTTTACAGCGAAGTCTTTGTATGCGTTATTTACGTATACCTTTGTGTGTTCCCAGGCTGTGAACCTACATCATGATGCATGCATGGATATTGTTTCATTCCATTCCTGGACCTAGATTCAGTGGCCCTAGTTTTGTTGGGTTTTTTATTTTCTTATAAAAATTTTATCTTTGAATGGTATAAAGAACCCGAGCCAGTACGATCATCAACAAATCTGCCAACGACAAATCAGACGAGCTTGCAGACGAATCCTGTGACTGCGACTACGCCTCAAGCAGGTGATGGATCAGGTAAAGAATAAATACAGACTTAATATAATAAATAATAAACTTATCTGTCTTATTTTGAATGTGTAAATACAAATGAATTAAAAATATCGTCCAACAAAAATAGCTAATTAAATATCTCCCTATAAGAAAAAAGCGCTCACGAGCTGCAATATTCAACTATATTATTATTATGCTTAAAACCCGGCTGTGCTTCCATCATACATACATACATACATCACTTTATTTAAAACACGCTAGCCCCACTCAACTTTAATAATAGTTGATTTCCAGGAGGGGCGTGTGAATAATACAAAGAAAATTTAGAGATAGTATACAATAATACATACTAACATAGTACAATATTTACAAAATTAGAGATAAATGTATATGAAGGAATATGACTTAAGGCAATTATCATGCAGTGCCTTAACAGCCAAAGTCTGAGGATTTAGCGTTTTCGGCTTGTGCATGGAGGACAAGATTATTTTGAATTAGCTCTATCTGGGATATCTTCATTTCTAAAATGTACTTATGTATGATGGCTCAATCACCGCTCACAAATATAGTGTATGCGCATTATATAGATGATAAATAATCACCACAGCACCAATAGATACCATCATTAATGTTAGGCCATGACGCCATGTCCGTTCTAATTCTCAGGGAAAATTTACGAGAAATGCAATGGTGAAGTTAGTACTAAATGGTATATCATTGTTGTGACTTTGGTGTCTGGAATTATCATTGGAGTTCTCTCATATGTTGCCGTGTGTTTTCGTCGAAAGTTCAAAAGTAGAAAACCTTCTTCGAACTCTGAACCTCCAACAACTGAACTTGATCCAAATTATCGAGAACTGGACCTTACCAGAATGAACACAGAAGATAATTATCAATCACTGAGAGGGGATGTTGCAAGAAACGACGGTGTTATTAGCGATGAATCAAATTATACCGCGTTGGCCGAAGTCAGGGATGTCGAGAGCAATTATCAACCTTTAACTTGAATCAACAGTTGGCTAGTTCCCTACTCTTTTTTTAAAGAGGAACAAGAAAGATACAATTTATTGGTTTCTTCTTAACTTCCATAAGAAAGGTCGATCATGTTTTTATCTTTAAACAACTTTTAATGATGCTTTTTGGTGCTATGCGTGAAGGGTTTGAAATATTTAGCAGCTACAGCAGACTAAAAGAGTAGCTTTTTCGCTTTTTCTATTCATATTATTCCCGGAATATGAAATATCTCGCGCAAGTGTCTTGTCAAGCGCCACATTTTCATAAGTAACGCCAAATCTCAATATGCAAATAATAAACTGGTCTAATCAAATTTTCCGGCCCCGTTTTTGACACCAGCTGATTTGAACGGACGATTTTTAAAATCTGCAAAGAGGGATTTTGAATTGCTATCGTTTAACAGACAGCCTTAAAATAGTTCGAACAGTGCGCGTAAAATATGTCTAATTTGCAATATTGTTCTAAGTAGAAGGAATTACAAAACACTATTCAAGGAATTCTGGACTTGTGTATGTTCACTTACCATGCAGAAAATAATATGGTTATCAACGAGGAAGTAAAACAAGGATCAAACTAGTTGGAGCCTAGCTAGCTTGACCAGTTCTCACTTCTTGTCTAAACAAATGTAGTTGCCGTATAAGAGGTATGTTATTATACTGTATCATAGTACCAGTATAGTACTGCAGGACATTGAAGGAGTATTTCTACAAATTAAATAAGTTAAAATTTGTATTTTCTCTTGGTCAAGACTTTGTAATTATGCATGTTCCTTCCATGCATGTTCTGACGGTAACGGCAGCTATATGTGAGAATAGGATGTATACTATATACGTGCAGTACCGAACGAGCTAGCGCTTTCTTGTTATATACTGAGCTTGATAATTCGTGTTGATCTATATAGTTTTGGGAGGCTTGCTGGTGCTTTTCGGTTGAGGCGAATAGTTTAGACACTGTGATATTGTTGTGATATATAGCACGAATATAGCTACCAAATTAATATCCACATCATGATGCGTGAGCCAGCTTATAATTGTGGTAACCAATGCTTGATGAACTGAAATGAATGGCTAATACAAACGTCTGATTACAAATTTTTCCCCGAGTGAATACATGTAATTAAAAAGGATTTTAATTCGATTGTTATATAACAGTGTATATACCAGTACTACCATATGAAATACATGAGTGGGTGATTTAGGCCATCAATGAAAGAAACGCTCCAACTCTGTTTTAAACAAGAATTAATAGCAGTAATTTCTAAAACCTCTTATTTTTATACAGGTTTAAAATCCTAAGATGATTGACTTTGAATTTCTCATTCTATTGGGTCTTAGTCCGATTTTATTATGCAATGGTAAGACTTAAATATATAATCATGCAGTTTGTGACTTTGTGTATTTACAGGGTGTATGAAGAGAATGTTAAGGTCCGTTTACACTTGCAATTTTTGCTGCGATTTTCTTCTTTTGATAGATGTGAACGAGTGAATTAGTTACTGATGTTTAAATAAGAGTTCTTATACATGGGCATTCGATAGCGAATATTCATGAAATTTTAAGTTGCGTTTTTTTATGCACCCTGTAGCTATAATATGTCATACGTGACGGTTTATTTCACAAGACGCCCACTCGGGTCGTTGTAGCGCTGTAGGTTTGAATAAAGCCAACAAATCGGGTAGTATAGGTAAGTGTATTTTATGTTGGCTTGTTGTCTTTTTACAGGGACATAGATGATGATGCTTTTGGGCTGTATTTGTACCACATGTGTAATCTTTTGATTTATAATAGGAGCAGTAAGTCCACCAGTTGATGCTGTTGATGGGAACAAATTTATTTTATTACCTGGATCAACTGTGAGCATAACATGGTCATTTGATGATACCATAACAAGTATCAGTCGCCGGCTGTGGACTTACGAAAGATTAGGTGTGCCTTTTGTAGCACTTGCTAAAATAGATGGTAATCGTGACTATGACAAATTAATAAACAACCTCTTTGAGTTTGACATTAAAACACCAGCAACATTGGTTCTAAAGAATGTAAATCAAAGTTATAATGGAACATACAAATTTTCTCTCTCACCTGGTGTTGGTCGTTCTGCCTCTGAAGTTCTTGTTTTTATTGCAGGCAAGTTAACTTTTATTACCTTGATTATGATTCACTAAACTTTATGCTGCGTCTTGTATGTTATATATATGGCATTACTCCGGACAATATTCAGAGTGATACTACTATTTTTCAAAAATCCTGAAAATTTTTCGTCCACGATTGCCATTTTATTTGAAGAGATGTGTAATTAGTATATTTCTCACTTTAAATGTGCTCTGATATAATTCATCTGAAAGGTTTTAGATCTTATACGATAACAAACCGGATACTAAATAATTTATAAAAACGTAATATTTTAAAAAAAGACTCGCATTAAATGGTTCCTAAACGTCGGTTTCAGTTGCTCCAACAGTGACACTCAGTTGTCCCAACATCACGACGCTAAATGAAGGTGAAAACTTCACATGTGAATGTAGAGGTGAAGGTGGAAATCCTCCTGCAGTTGTTGCCTGGTATAAAGATGGCGCCCGAATTAGTAAAACAGGAAAGGAGTCTCAGATACTGTCTCTTTTTAACGTTACGGCAGAAGATCGAGGAACGTACAACTGTAAAGCTCAGAGCCACGTGAATGCATCAGATGAGAAATCAATCGAAATAAACGTATATTGTAAGTACGATTTATAAAAGATGGGAAAGTTCAAGCTTATACTATAAGTCAGAGACTCTGTGCTATAAAGATTTGTTTTCATCTGTTAGAGTCATTTGTAGTCTCTACCACTTCTTTTCGCCCCGTACGTCTATGTTAATTTTTTCTTTAATTAAATGCGCGACTGCGATGGTCCATTGCGACTGGAAGACTTAATTAACCGTATTGAAGCAAGTGTGGAATGTATTGTGCGAAATCATTCAAACAGAAACTTGGTAATTTCATCACAACAACAGACTTTTTCTTTTCAGACGCAGCGTAACAAAATTGCTTATTTTGAAGAACAAGCCATTGAAACATGTTATTCTTTTTTCCACGTTTGCTGCGTTTCAGTATACGTGAAAAGACTATACGTACGGGACAATTTTACCTATTTACCCAATACAGAAACCATTTCACGATTCTAAGGACGGTCGTATACATATATACATGCAGTTTAGTCTAATAACCGGTGCTACTTTCACAAACAAATGAATTAATGAAAATAACCTCTTGTTCTCGTTCTTTCTCTTAGTTAAGCCTCAGAATACAGCAATTCGGTTTTCTAAAAATTCGGTTGAAATTGGAGGACCTGTGACCATAACGTGCACGTCTGATGGTTTTCCTGAACCACGTTTTACCATATTTCAAAATGTACCAAAATTGTCTGTAATGATAACACGCATACCATATGTAAGGTGAATTGGGGTGATGCTGGAACGTACAAATGTTTTACAAGTAATACACTTGGAAATGACTCCGCTTTCGCCTTTTTAACGGTTAAAGGTACTGACTAAAGATAATATCGGAATAGTTCATTAATAGCGACACATTTTATCCGCCCATTTCGTATATTTATAACAATACTAATATAGCTATATATATCTCCATTACACATGCATGTTATTCTTACGCATAGGGAAGTTTAGATTAGGGTTCAAATTTCCTCCTTATCAACATATACATTAAATTATTCAATGTGAAATATTTTTTGCTTCGTATTACCTTTTATATGGTTTATAAATCTAGCTAATGCATGTAATTTCAGAATTACCAAAGCTAATTGGAACAACGTTATCAATAAAACGACCAACAACGCAAAAAGTTTCGGGGGCAATCGCGAACATAACAGCCCCAACGTCGAAGACTACACCAAGTAATGGATCGGGTAACTAAACGCATGACTTTGGCTTACGCTTAGTTTATCTGGTTCTCATATGATCAAATTTTTTAAAGTTTCAGCGTCTGTCTTGGAAATGATTTGCGAAATAGCTTCCATGTGAATAGTTTACAATTAATAGACCCTTTCGATAATTACGCATGTGTTGAAGAAGGATGTTTTGCATCTTAATTTGCACTTAGCTTGTGAGAGTAAAACTTCAAATCCATTTAATTTAAATTCAAAACGATGATGTTAAAACGTAATTATCGAAAGGGTCTATTGGAAAACTTAAACCTGCGTCGTTCTCAATTTTCAGACGAAGCAGCTTCTGCAGAATGTAATTCCAGTACAACAGAATGGCATGTCATTGTCATATCTTTGGTGTCTGGAATGATCATTGGAATGCTTCTCACCCACCTTGTTTCTTATTCTCGACGGAGGTGGTTTAGAAACAGAAGTCCTGAACCAACGGAAGCACAAAAAACAACTTATTCAACTTATCAAGAACTGGATCTTAAGAAAATGAACAAGGAAGACAATTATCAGTCATTACAGTTAAGAGTAAATGTTGAAAGAAATGACGGTGCAAATGACGATGGATCAAACTATACTGAGTTGAACAAAGCCAGAGATGACGAAAACAACTATCAATCTTTAAATTAAGCCGTGTCATCCACTCGGCCCAATCGCAGCATATATTTCACTGGCTATATTCCATTGCCCGCACCAACACTACAGCAACTCTTTAGTCATTACCTCATGAAGCATACTAATGAGGCTATAATATTACAAAAGGAAACGTTTGGTTCATTAATTGCCGCCGCAGCGAGCGAGCCTAGGGCGAGCGAGCAACGCAGCAGACCTAATTGTTGTAGTTGGGAATTTTTAAATTTTGCTTTAGCGCATTGCATTGTGGTCGAATATTAGATAGACCCACAATGCTATGCGTGAATCAACTTTATATAATTATATTGTTTCTTCCCATGTGCTTCCTTTAATCTTTTTCGGCTTTTCCATTGAGCAATGAGCATTCTGGTGAACAGTTAAAAAATTTTGTGATTGCCAGTTTCTTAGCTTTTTTACCCTCATTTCATCGCTGATTATTACATTCGCAGATCATTAATCGAGACTGTAGTTAAGCAAACATGATCATCATTCATGTGCCGTTGATCGCAAATATATCTCTGAATAACAATGGTGTCGTTTTCGCGTAACCGCCCGTCGCTCAAGCCCGCGATGGTTTCTATGATAAATTATAACAAGGGCACTTAATTAGCTGACCCGCTATAAAATGTTGTGTCTTTCGAGGGATAACTTAGAGGGAAACGACTCTCTATGGTCGTATGAAGAAATTAGCGCTTTGCATGGAAATCATGGCGGATGTTTGAATCGATGCACCTCTGAATCACTGTTCATTATTGATCCGCGCATCGGCGCATGCAGAACATCGCCAGTCCTAATATACAAACGGGATTGGAATAAGATCAGAAATGCACGTTTCTTTTTTCGTTTTTCTCATCGTTAAAGGCGTACCGTGTACGTGGTAGCTACGTGGACACATAAAAGTGTGTCCTACAACCCTCGATATATAGTTGCAATGAGCCTGCCTTGAATAGCGCTTAGAATAAATTAAAAAAAAAAGATACATATCACATATATGCATGCACTAAATTTACGAAAATTGGCTGAAATACATGCATGCACTTAATAATAATCCATAATAAATTACTAAGCAAAATTATTATTATTAGCAAAATTAAATGGCCGCAAAGAGTGCTTTTAAGTATATTATATATTAGCGGAAGTAAACAGCATGAATAATAATTTCGGGAATTATAACTGTTATAAGGAATTTTCAAATTTTTTCAAGGAATTTTTCAATGTTTTAATGATATAAAGCGAGATGCTAAAAACACATCATATCAAATTTATCAATATCATTGTATAGAAATTAAATTACTGTTGGGAACCAGGAAGTTGATTCGTTTTAAAGACGTTTATCAATACATTGCAGAGAGCAACATTTTGTATTGGACACCAATGTAAGCATTTCATATGTATCTATATAGTACTATTGAATAACAGCGCTTGCATGTGATATAGGAATTATAAAGCTTTCCTATGTTCACTATGGTTCAATGTAGGCAAACGACTGTTTACCATTGCTGCAATTTAGTGAACCAGTTGGTCAAGTTACCAAGCATGCACTTGAAAATATAAAACGACGAAAACATACTTAAGCGAATAGACGTTTGATTAAATTGTACTATTGGAAGCGATACATCAGGCAGTTGAGTGCTTTTTATGTCCTACACTATATGATGATACAACCCTCTGATAGAATGCTGTTTATAGACAATATAATGGTGATCTATGTTACATTTTCTTATTAGCTTATTCCTATGACTGAAGTGAAGTATATATTGCATATAAATCAGGATATATGGTTAAATATGTTTACGCCGTCATGCTTGATAATAGGTATCGGCGAAAGGTTATATCTAAGAGATATTTGCTGCAAGGCAATATTTTTCCTTGGCTTCTGATCGATTAGGCCGAGATTCAGGTTTAGTTACATTCGTGGGAATTAATTTTTAACGCTTTAATTTTTAATACAAGAACTACTAGACTAGTTGACTCCTCGCGTTAGTTCGCATGTTTACTTTTGACGTTACAATGTTCAGAGCTTTGGATTAGTCATTATAAAAGACGACTGTTGAACAGAGACATTCCCTAAATGCACCTATTTTCTTGCGTATGTATATCTTCAGGTTTACATGCTTGTTTGCATGCATTTCTCGTGTCGTATAATTATTAAAGACAATAAACGTGGTCGTCAACAGCTGCACGCAAATTTTTCATGAGGAAAGTCGAAAGTAGTGTGAGGGGGTACAAGTTCCGGGGGCATAGGAAACTCTTTGTTGAATTCATTTTAAATGTACTTCGAAAATATAAGAGATATATTTCATAGATTTTGCAAATAGGAGAACACATGCTCATCCAATACAGGGTACACAACTACTAAATGTTCATGAATGTTCGCTCACTATTCGATCACAAAAGATCGAATTGTCATTAGTGTTCCTTTTTATAGCTACGCCCTGTGTACAAAACCGCATGCAATCACATCCTTAAAATGGTCAGCAGTCACATTCTTGAACCACATTGAAAGAAAGTTACTAATTTAGGCGCTTTGTCCCCCCCCCCCCCCCCAAGGCTGTGTTCCCTTCGACGGCCTATTTTACGTATGTGGCGATATAAAAATAAATCTTTTCCCGCATTATGAAAATGAGCGCACATTTACCATTGCAATTTATTTTTTATGCAGGTATATTTCCTCATGTTAATGGCTGGTTTTGGTTTAATTCTTGATATAGTTGGTCTTATTTCAGTGTTTTGTTTATGTCAAGGTAGGAAACTACATTTGCGTTTCCAATTTACTCAAAATAGTTTTCCGTCTTAGGCACGTTTCAGACGTCGAAACAAAGACTTTAGCTTGTTAACATCAGGTTCGGCACATGTGAAGTTCGACGTCTGAAACAGGCCTTACCTGATATAATTAATTATGTATCTGGGGCGAGTCGTGTGAAAGGGAGTAAAATTCCAGTACACTTGCATGGCGATCGAATTGGCAAATCAAAATCGTATTTTTGTGTATCAACTATATGATTTCACTATCAATGTAGTCAGTATAAATTATAAGAATTTTGTACGACCGCCCCCAGTCGCTTCCATGCATGCATCTCGCAGTATTGTTTATAAGTAATTATTTGTTTATATATAATTAAGTTAAATTACTTATTGATGCCACCATGCAAACCTACAAGAGTATTATTATTTGTTTATACAGTATGTCCGCAAAAGCCGAATTTCGTGAATTAAGCCTCGTAAAACTCATTATGAGGGCAAACGTTATATCCTCGCAGTCTACAATTCCAAAATCAAAATGTGTCAATGATAACATACAAGAATAGGAACTATATATACTCCATATCTTACCATAACACTGTATAAATTGCAGCAGTCCATATAAATCTTGATGACGGATTGCTTTATGATTTGGCGTTGTGCTTACATATAGTAGCCTATGTATTTTTTTGCGTAACCTATAAGCTGAGAAACATTTGAGACTAACCCCACTTCACTTATTGTGAATTGCACATTATATTTGCATGATACGTCTAAATTCAAACTGAGAGTTGTGTTGTTTAGGTCGAATAACTTCGCCACCTGATGGAAAAATTCTTACCTTTTTGGATGGATCAACAGCAAATATAACGTGGTTGTTTGATAATGATGTATCAACAGTAAATTCAGGGGTTTGGAAATTCACAAGTAGTGATGGTGTATTCAGTGATTATCGACTTGGAAGAATAATTGACAATGACCCTCCTTCAAAAATAACGAGTTTACTTGATGTTGCAATTGAAAGACCTGGAACATTGCTTTTAAAGAATGTTAATCAAACTTATGATGGAACATACAGTTTTATAATTGACGGTGACACATCTGCAGTTGTCGTTTATATTGCAAGTAAGTAGCTTCTCCTAAAACCGATTAAATCATGTACACATGCCATGATGTCAATCTAAGAATCAATAGGTTATTTTCTTAAAGCCCAGAGATATTATTTTGTGCTGTGATTTTGACTTGAAAAATGCCCCGTGAAACTTGTGGCTAACTTGCGGTTAACTCGAAATGTCCGAAAATGCACAATATAAAATAGAGAAATCTCTACCGGTCTATATCCTTTGACTGAGGCAGTCAAATTGTATAAAATTATATAGTTTGTATATATACACCATGACATACACATTTGATCAAAATTTTCACGAAAATGGCTTTGATAAGACTCTAAAATGCTCATTTGCGAGGAACTAGGGTAAACAAAATTAAAATAAAAATCTGCAACCGTCCTCAGAGCAGCTTTCGACCGCTAAATCGAAATTGTACCAGTGGGACGTTCGTATTAAACCGAACGAATCGAACGTCGAATCGAGCATTTTTGCCGTAATAGACAGTTCAATTAGGTTTCCGAAGGATAAAACCTGAAAACTTTGTGCGGCTTTGAATATTCGGTCAGATGGATATTTCGTATCTCCCTCTGAAATTTTAAGCTTTTTCTATCAAATGCAAACACTACGAAATTCGGCCCACGAAGCTTAGGACACCCCCAGATTTTTTTCTTGATCGCCAGCTATCGGCGTCATATGAGATCCAGACAGAAAAACTATCACATTTCAGGGAAACCAAAGGTGACATTGAATTGCCCTGGAGTCGTCACGCTAAATGAAGGTGAAAACTTCACATGTCTATGCAGAGGTGAAGGTGGAAATCCTCCTGCTAATGTTACCTGGTTTAAAAATGGAGTCAAAATTGGTGATGTTGGAACAGGGCATCAATCATTACTTTTATTAAATGTTGTTGGAGAAAATCGTGGAACATACAAGTGTGCAGCGACAAGCTTCCATCATGAAAGTTATGCGGAAGATAAATCTATCTAAGTAATAGTTCTTTGTAAGTATGAATCCATTTCAAATATTTGATAACAATAACGGTATTACAGTCTAAGGAAAAAACAACTATTACATCATTCATTCCATAATGACGAGTGGATGGTATTGGTCTTAGAAATAATGTTACTATGAAATTAGCAAAAGCCTATTTATACCAGAGACGGATCATCCGTCTGGACGAACTTGGGCAGGCGAAAGATAGTTCGTCTTCTAGTTCGTCTGTGTGTAAACACGGGCAAACAGACGGATCATCTGTCAACACGAATTATTGGCACAGCCATAGTTCTTCTATTTAGACGAAATTGAATGGGTATATAGTTCCGACTAGTTCGTCTTGACGCATCAGCGTCTGTCAGTATAAATACGTGGTAGGGACGAACTACAAAAATTCATCCTCTTGCAGTGAACTCTTTCTACCATGCACATAAATAATTTCCCAATTCCTGTGCACTTTCGTATATAACGCGCGATTCTGTTTCGTTTGACATATTCGTCTAAAAACATATTTTGTCCAGATTATCGTTTATTTATACTCAGACAAATGATCTGCCAGACGGATCATCCGTCTCTATATAGTATAAATCGGGCCAACTTCATTTTGCAAAAAATCTAAATTAGCAGTTATTTTCCCTGATCTGAGATGTGCCTGCTGACTTATAGTCATCAACCCATGCTTTAACTCGATTAATAGCCAAAAAGGTTATTTCAAGATATCCCTCCAATAATCACTAGGCATTCAAAAGAAAAACTAATACAATATATATATATATATATATATATATATTATTATTATAACCTGCACGATGCTTTGAAATACTAACTCAACCTTACTACATTTTAGTGAAACCAATGGTTGCATTAAATTGTTCCAGTCCTGTTATCCTGAATGAGGGTGATAACTTTGCATGTTTGTGTAAAAATGAAGGTGGCAATTCTCCTGCTAATGTTACCTGGTATAAAAATGGAGTCAAATTTAGCAATGTTGGAACAGAGAGGCAAAAATTAATTCTTTCAATTGTCGGTAGAAGAGACCGCGGAACATATAAGTGTGTAGCCACAAGCAACCCCTATGGAAAATACAGTGATGAAAAATTCATTCAAGTTATTATCTATAGTAAGTATGATCATACCTTAAACATAATTGTTTAAGTGTAAAAATGTGATTATTTAGAAATGTTGAAGCTATTAGCAAATTGCAAATTTTGTACACATTCGTATTATTTATATGTACACATTCGTATTATTTATACGCAATAAAATGTGTTTGAAGCACCCGTTCTTGAAATAGTCATATAGCTTTGAAAAATATATCCTTAATCATAACTAAACAGAATTTTTGACACTGTCCTTTGCTGCATGTGCATGTACCTTCGCCCGCATCGTAACGTGACTTCCTGCATGCATGTATGTATAAATTAACATGCCATGCGCGGATGCTGAGTACAAAATTTTACGCACTTTCGGCAGTTCAACGGGCAATTCTCGTATGAAAATCGCAGTTTGATGCCAATCTTGTTTATCATTTCCTTTAGTGCTATAGGGTTTTGTTGTTTTAATATAGTTAAACCAACGAATACAATGATTACGTTCACGAAGAACCCCGCTGTAATTAATGGACCACTAACCATAACATGTGCCTCTGATGGGTTTCCTGTGCCATTTTATACTATATACCATAATGGTAAGGTTCTTAGTACTGAAAAGTGGTACATCGTACCTCAAGTGAAATGGAAAGATAATGGAACATACAAGTGCATCGCGGCTAATACATTTGGAAAGGATTCCGTTTCTGAATATCTAAAAGTTACTGAAGGTGCAAATCAGTATATATTCTTTATATGCTTTTTATTCTTATATTCTGTTAACAGGCAAAGCATGCAGACATGTTTTCAAAAATGCAGAACCTCTTAAAATAGAACCATAAATGTATAATTATACTGTTTATGAGGTGAAGCAACTTTAGATTAAACGAAATTGTATGAGCCTGACATGGTTGTTGAACCTGAGGCCGGTTGTTCGAAAGGTGGATAAAGTTATCCACTGGATTGTGATTATTTCAAAGTAACGTTAAAAAAATTCTAACTACCACTTGGTATGGTCAAGATTGAACTTCACACTTTCGAAGGTAAAGTACTTTTTAACGATTGTAAATTTAATATGATTGAGTAGTTTTATCGATTTTTCTAGGTTTTTTTACGACGGTTGAAAAGGTCACTATCCAGTAGATAACTTTATCCACCTTTCGAACAACCGGTCCCTGCAATTTAGAGCACTGCAGCAGGGAGTTAATAGAATAGCAGAAGATAAATGTTTGTCACTGTATAGTTAGGCTTCCATGGGTATGTCACTTCTACGCCATTTTGTTAATGCCATATGCAATAGAAGGATTTGGTTCAGCACGTTAAAAATCTAAACTGCTACACAAATCATTTATCAATTTTAGAAATTTTCATGTGCTTCTATCTATAGCTCAAATTTGGCGACTTCAGAATAAGTTGACATAGTGTTTTATATAGGTATAACTTGCTTCTTTATTATCATTTAAAGAACCGAAACCTACAGTGCTATCTATAACAAGATCAACTTCACGATCAGTATCCAGCACAAGCATAAAGAATCGTGAAGGTAATTATGAATCAGGAATTATGAATCATATAACATAATTAATGAATCATATATAACAATACATATATAAAAATGTTATATGCAGTTATAAGGACAAGATTGACACAGCTGAGGATGACAGTTTCCATGACACTTTCTCAGTCGACGCGGTAGATTCAACTTCCAAGTTTCTTTGGTCCGTTTCGCTGAAATCAGCGGGCTCTCTTCGATTAACTTTACTTTTTAGAAAAGGCAGATCCAGCAGCATCAAATGACAGTGAAACAAAATGGTATATCGTCCTGGTGTCATTATTGTCTGGAATAATCATTGGGATTCTTCTTTCCTACATTGTCTTTTGTTATCATAGTAAATTTAGAAATAAAAAACGTGAACAAAAACCTGATTCACCAACTTCTCAAGTTGATCCAACTTATCAAGAACTGGATGTCAAAAAAATGAACAAAGAAGAAAATTATCAGTCATTGAGAGTGAATGCTGCAAGAAATGATGGTGTTAATGATGGCGACTCTACTTATACTGAGTTGAACAGAACAAGAGATGTCGATAGCAATTATCAATCTTTAACTTGAACTTGTTTGTCATCATGATGAGAAAAACAGAATAAAATGTGCCTGAAGCTTATATACCATATTCCAAACATCTGGACGACTATATCAATGACATCGTATTTGCTAAGAAATTTAGGCCTGCATGTGTAATGTTTTGACTTGCATGAGATATACGCAAAGCATTTGTTTTTTGCAAATAGACTACTTAAAAACAGCCTTTACTGAGGAAAGAAACGTAGTCCTTTTTTATCATGATTCTGTACATGGTTCTGTACATTCACTTTAACCATTTAATCTCTTTCTCTAGACGAAAGTAATTTCTTCCTTGTATTTTTGCTGGTGAATAATTACCAGGACGATGTGCTTTTCACGACAAATGTATCAGGTCAGCTAGAGAAATTTCGTCTTAAACCAACACAAACAGTTGTGAGGGTTAAAAGATGGAAGACAAAGAAGACTTTGGTAGTAAGGGCTGTCGTTGCTGGTACAAACCAAAAGGTTTTCATTAATGGACAATCTGTTATTAACCTGTATCCAACGATTAAAGAAATTATTTCATTAAACGTTCTAAAGGTAAATCATTGTTGACAATAAGTAAGACTGATAAAATTATTGTCAAAATCCTGACTTTCTAGAAAATGTCAGTTACAGCATTATAGTGGCAATAAAAGCGCCGTTTACTTGTAGGTATAATTTACAGAGTATCGTTGTAGCCAGTGGCGTCGCCAGGGGGGGAACTGGGGGGGACAAGTCCCCCCGAGTTACTCTAAAGACCACTTTTGAGATTTTTCTAAATGTGAAGAGAAAAGTGAGGGGGGGGTACAATGATTCTAATTTCCAACAGCCGTGTAAATAAAGAAATTTTCGAATTAACGTTACTTTTGATCACCTAAAGAATAACATTAGAATAACATATCAGCATAGGAAGAGACATTGCAGATAAGATTGAGTTGGATACTCTTGTTGACACATTTAGATAAGCTAACAACAGAAAGTTGCAATTGTGAAAACTGTTGGTTTATAACAAAAATCGTCAATCTGTGGCTTTCAGATTGTCATAAAACCTGCCTGAAAATGTTGGAAATTGCGTTTTAGAGACCCTAGAAATAAAAATTTTCTCGAGGGGGAATGCCCCCAACCCCCCTAGGGGTCTAACGCCTTTAATTTTTACATCGTCCCCCCCAGTCTGAACAACCTGGCGACGCCACTGGTTGTAGCAGCTGATATTTTCAAGTATACGGTATCTAAACTGAAAATCGTGCACTCTCGTCTCTTTTTTAATAGCACGAAAAGCCATATAGTTCGAGATAGTTGAACAACACCATAAAGTGTATAAAAAGGAACTTTATAAATAATGTGAGATGCCTATACACTTAACCAACTTTACACTGGACTTAACTTTTAGTACGGCACGGCTAAAATTGGTACCCTTACCCAATTTTTTCCATGACACGAAATTATTTGATTTTTCGAAATCAGCCTTGCATGAAAAACCTTTGATTAAACAACTGCCATTTTTGATGGAAAAAATTTTATGTAGGCGTTTTGTCGTGATGACAAAACATATAAGCATTCGAAACCGTTTGCACCCATTTGGCTTTTGCACCAGACTTCACAGGGGTGTCGAAACGTTTGTTCAACGTGGACGAAGTCGAACACGATGGCGTGAAAATTTAGCATAAAAGAGGACTGGACCCGATCATGGGTGGACTTAGCGGCAAAAAACGACGAAAGAAGAAGCGTTTGCTGGCCAGCGCTCAACCAAAGGAGTATGTCGTGAACGACAATGCATTGTTACCAGATGGTAAAGTGTTGTCGTGTTTTCAAAGATGGAAACATCAATCAATGATAGATCTTCGAGGATTTCCATACTGGGGTACAATCACTATGTACAGCGGTAGCGGCTATGCAGCAAACCTTGGTTATGACACTGTCACTGCTTACACTGTGGTTGCTGAACTTTAGGACTAGAACATTGCTAGTGTAAAAATTCAATGTCATTGTAGCTATCTTTCATGTTTGCCTGGATAAGTTCGATTATCTATATTAAGACTATTGAAGAAATATCATGGTTATTTAACAACATATTCGTTAATGTATGGTTATAAATTAACATATCGTTTTTACAAAAATCGTCAATTTTCCACCACTTACTTTTTCACTCAGAGCAACTTGGCTTGGAATATGTCATGAAAAGATCTTTATATTTCGCAAAGGATTCAGTAGGATCTATATATATGTAGGATTTTATACCGAAACCGTTTCCTTATCCTGATTTTATTTTCGTTCGATATTCTAGCAAAATCAACAACAAAACGCCCGCCTTCAAGCACTGGGAAGGTACCAGGTAACGAGGCGCAGAACTCAATATTCAAGGCAATTGAGTGCAGTCTGAAGAAGCTAAATTACAGTCATTTAATAACCATTTTAAAACGGCAAACATTTCCTGTAGGAAACCTTTGACAAATTCCAATTTCTCATCTTATGTGGCTAGCCGTTTGGAGATGTTGGATTAGTAATTGTTAGTGCAGTGGCGCTCATAGTGCTTTATTTTGCTTGGTAATTTACTGTAAATCCCAAGGAGGTAACTTATTAGATCGCGGAAGTTATACGTATAATATATTGCTATCCTAGTGGAGTTCCCTTAATTTTTATGTATAAACGGCGCCAGCTGATTACAAAAACGAGAAAGACTGCTGCTATACCTTAATTAAAGTAAAATAATTGTACCAGTCTTCCGGAAATACCTTTGCAATATTTTCACAATGTTATTTTTGTTATGTCAGGTGAACATGGCGGTGAATCACGCTTCTGCAGAGTCTAGACTTGTAAAAATTGTGTTCAAGTAGACTTTCGTCTCTTGATCAAGTAATTTACGCACAATAATAAACTCATTATCGGCTTTCATTATATTTTAGATCCAGGGATTGCGTAAAAATTATCATGTTAATAGCTTGGATAGACGCATGCTTATTTATGAGGTTTTTGTTCGCACAATATTCTGTGTATACTGTATACCACAGCATGACATATAAAATATGTTGTAACCTGATTAATAATTACATTGCACAACTGGCTCCTGGTGTTGCAATATTTAACTATTTTATAAACTCCTAAATTGTGCTCCCATCATGCCTGAGAGCCAAAGTCTAAGAATTTAGCGTTTTGGGCTTTTAGAGGACAACGTTATTTGAATTACCTCTATCAGGGATATCAGTTATAATATGTACTTAATTAGCATATAGCTCATCACGTAGGAATTAGTGTATGCGCGTTATAGATAGTAAATAGTTACCAACGTGCACCACAATAACCGTATCTTCAGGGAAAACTTACGAGAAGTGCAATGGTGAATTGCACTTGATGAATAGACATTTCCCGAATTTGCTTGGGTGCGCACAAAACAACAGCTTGATAACGAGATGGGAAATTGAATGTATTGTTGGTGGGATGGTTCTCATTGCCCGTGAACAAATTCGTGTCTATTGCAAGTGGGGTGGTGAATAGTACTAAACAGTATATAATTTTTGTGATCAACTTTGGTGTCTGGATTTATTAGTTTTTCTCTCATATGTTGTCAAGTTTAAAAGTAGAAAACCCTCTTCAAACTCCAACACCTCAAGTTGATCCAAACTTCCAAGGACTGGATCTTACGAAAATGAACACAGAAGACGATTATCAATCATTGACAAAGATTGCCGCAAGAAATGACGCTGCGAGTGTAGCGATGAGTCAAATTATACCGAGTTGAATGAAGTCAGGGATGACGAGAGCAATTATCAACCTTTGACTTGAATCAAGAATCGGGATGATATTTTTTCTATGAAAAGAGAGAAAAACACATCTGGCTACGTATAAAAATATCGGCTCCTTTTAAGGAGTAGCAAGGAGCCCTTATTTGATGATCGGGTCAACGAAAGGTCAATCTTCTTGCTCCATGGGGAGTCTTGTTCCATGGGGGGCTTTCCTCGAACCGACGAAATTCTTCACGCCGTTTATAAACACTGAGCTTAATATGACAACGAAGATAAGATAAGAAAGAGGTAAGGATCAAATTGTAAACGCAGAAGAATAATTTTGACATCAGGGATTTTCCTAATTTTGCTCAATTCTTTGGTGTTCATAGTTTTTGTGAAAACATTCAATTCCTTAAGGAAAGGATAATTATACTTAAAATATCTCAAATTTGCATTATTAGTTGGACAAAATTGTCAGGTTGGAGCTGTGAATTTGAACATCTCCGTTTGTAAGCAGGCAAAAGGGACGAATTGCTGTCCATATTTGTTCGACCCGTGTAGGCGTGACCTGAATAAATCTCCTGAAATATTTGTGAAAGGTGTAAGTATTAAAAGGAATTCTAAAAAGCTGCTAAATACTGCCGGTTGCGAATGTGAAAGTAGATTGATGTTTGTAAGAATTTGAAAATAAGCCATACAAAGAGCTTGAATATTAAGAAACTACTTGTATATCTTCGGTGATATTACCTCCTGGTACCGCTCTGGTAGAATGTTGATTAGGCAATAGGGAGCATATAATGACAATTTTGATTAGTTTAGTCCGTATGCTGTATTGCTGGACAAAATTCAAAAAGCCTATAGCTATGATTTGTGATATCTTGTGGACAAGGGAAAGTTATATAAATTCATCACTAAACATATTTATGCTATCATGAGTATAAAAATTGCGAATTCTGACTGTAATTTGGGTTATGTATTTATTTGAGAAATTTGTTCATATTATTATTGATAAAAATTTGACACCGCAATGTATATCTGTGAAGGACCGATAATATATCTGGTATTCTCCGTGAATATTATATTAACACACCCAAATTGGGAAATGATAAATTTAATTTTGTAATGCACAACCAGAAATATTGAACATTTTTAATTGCATCACATTGGCAGTTAGTCTAAATGTCTAATCAAAACAACTGATGTGACGGCCGGAGAAATGATTTGCATTTCAAATCTACCATAAGAATCTACCAAATCAACCATTATAGAAGATATAATAGTACTTATTCCTGGTTCACCGCCTTCATATGTGAACCAGGCTTGACTTTGACTTTCAGGAACATCGCAATGATCGCAGGCAACATGGTCAACAAAGTTGAGTTTTTTTAGCAATACTGACCAAGAGTTGGGATTTTGAAGAGTTCATAACAACATCGAGACTTATTATCGGCAGTATCCGGATTCCGCCGGACTTTGATTACAAATCGTTTAGACTTTAGTGCATTTTTGTGCAGGTATATTTCCTTAAATTCATGGCTGGTTTTGGTTTATTTACGACTTTTGGCCTTATGGTGTTATGTCTCAGTCATGGTAAGGATATATATGTATCTATATATGTGATTATATATGTATATGTATATATATGTATATATGTATATTTGTTGTATCTATTAAGGTCAGGGATAAACAGTCGTCACTAAATATGACGTCATAGATTCCAACTTCGTAACATTTTATTACTCGTGGATAAGTAAAATCCCTCATAAAAACCTATTATTTGCATCACCATGCATGCGTCTAAAATGATTTAAAATATTGGGTTGTTTAGGCCAAATCACCTCGCCGCTTAATGGGAAATCTTTCATCTTCTTAAACGGAGAAACAGCAAATATAACCTGGTCGTTCAAAGATGATATAAGTAAAGTAGGTTATCGGGCTTGGTATTTCACAAGTAGTAATGGCGTATTCAGTGGACATAAACTTGGAGGAATAATTGACGATGATCCACCGACGAAAACAACCAGTTTATTTGATGTTGAAATTAAAAAGCCAGGAACATTGCTTTTAAAGAATGTTAATCTAACTTATGATGGAACATACAGGTTTGACCTTATAGCACCTGTCGGTGGTAGATCCACAGTTGTAGTTTTCATTGCAAGTGAGTAGCTTTATCCGCGTTAGATGGTTTTGATCGGAGCACTACTTGCCCCCTGGAGATTTTATATCCATGTTTGTATTGACCATTGGGCATGAGTTTGCATGGGCTGGCAGGAAATATGATTTTGTTCGCATGACACAATCGCGCGTTACACTTGGCGTGCTCACTACATCATGGCCTATAATTACTTATTTTTTAATAACAAAGAAGAAACAAATGTAATTAATAGTCCTGCGATAATTATAGAATCAAAGGGACAGAGCATAAAATATTATAATAATCATACTCCACATTTTAGAGAAGCCAAACGTGACAGTGAATTGTTCCAGTCTCGTAACACTAAATGAAGGTGAAAACTTCACATGTCTATGCAGAGGTGAAGGTGGAAACCCTCCTGCTAATGTTACCTGGTTTAAAGATGGAGACAAATTTAGCGATGTTAAAACAGAGAATCAAACATTAACTCTCTTAAATGTTGGTAAAGCTAACATTGGAACATACACTTGTGTAGCCACAAGCTATAAAAGTTATACGGATGAAAAAAAAATCCAAATAATAGTTATCTGTAAGTTTGATATCGCACGTCGCACATTCAACCAAACGCGGCTTTTATTTCCATGCATGCTAACCCTGTACGCAGGCGTGCCGGAACCGGAGGTAATAGTATCTTAAGGTATTCAACTTTTCTAAATTTCAGTGAAACCATTCGTGACATTGAACTGTTCTAGTATCGTCACGCTAAATGCGGGTGATAACTTTGTCTGTCTATGCAAAGGTGACCGTGGAAATCCTCCTGCTAATGTTACCTGGTATAAAGATGGAGTCAAAATTAGTGATGTTGGAACAGAGAGGCAAAAAATAAATCTGTTAAATGTTGGTACAAAAGACCGCGGAACATACAAGTGTGTAGCCTCAAGCAATCCTGATGAAAAATACACTGATGAAAAGTTCATCCAAGTGATAATCTTTTGTAAGCATGATTATATACCAATAACTCGTAATATAACAATCACTGCATGTTTTTTACAAACAGGCATTCCAAATATCTTCGCCTGGGTATAATTTTTATTGCAACAAGAATTAAGGTTTTGTTTTTTTAACAGTTAAACCAACGAATACAGTCATTAGATTCTCAGCAAACCCAGCAGCAATCATTGGATCAATAACTGTAACGTGTACATCTGATGGGTTTCCTGAGCCAATAACCACTATATATCATAATGGTACTAAGATCGTTAGTGATAGCAAACGGTACTCAAAATCTCAAGTGAAGTGGAAGGATACTGGAGTGTACAAGTGCATTGCAATTAACGCAATTGGAGAATACTCCGATTATGAATATTTAAACGTGATGGAAAGTAAGTCAGTCTATATTTTTATATGAGTTGTCTAGTTAACATCGCATTCTCCTGTTATGTTTGTGGCTCTCGAGCTGACGAGCTCACATCATTGAAGTGTCCATAGCTGTATGTGATAAAAGGGTTTGTTTTGGGGGTGAATAGGAACACTTTTATATTAAGTGACTTCAGAAGAAATTGATATAACTCATCCTATATATCAGAGCTGTTTTATAGTCACGCATCTCATAAATGAATCATATATTCATTTATTCATTCTAAGAAACGAAACCAACAACAGCAACTTCACGCTCGCTATCCAGTACAAGCGTAACAAATCGGGAAGGTAATGAAACAGGTACAGTGATATTATGTATTGTATACAACAAATATGAAGGGTTGTCTGAGAGTAAAATTTATGATATCCCAATAGAAATGAATTTAAGATACACAAAATAAAACGAGAATAACCGTTGTAAATATCATTCTTTGGCCGAATGATTTGTCTGATGAGTTAAATATCAAAGGAAAAGTTCCCATGGGTTGCTAAAACTAGAAGAATATCTTTATCATTGTTTTTTTTTTTAGAAAAGGCAGATCCAGGAGCATCTACTGACGTTGCAGTGAAATGGTATATCGTCGTGGTAATACTGCTGTCTGGAATGATCATTGGAATTCTTATTTCCTACATTTTCATATGTTCTCGTCGCAAATTTAGGAAAGCTAAGCAATCTAACTCTGAACCTCCAACTTCTCCAGTTGATTTAACTTATCAAGAACTGGATCTTAAAACAATGAACAAAGGAGACAATTATCAATCATTAACAGTGAATGCTGTCAGAAATGACGGTGTAAATAACGACGAATCAAATTATACTGACCTAACCAAAACAAGAGATGTGGAAAACAATCATCAATCTTTGACATGAATAAGGACTGATATTAGTCCTTCACCTGGTTTAAAAAATATCGCCTTTTATATGGAAATCTGACAACAATTTTATGGAGAGATTTCGACTGTATTTTTAAGACTATAGTCATGCGGGTGAGATTTCGATAACATTAGCATAAGATTTACATTTTCAGTCCAAATATTTAATGTTAAAAATTTGTAGAAGCGAGACAAAAATAGGAACCCATTTTCTTTTGGCAAAATTTACCTGGATGCTGAACGAAAACGGTATTTCGTCTCATAGCGTTGACCGATTTCAAGTGCATGACCGAGAATGATTATCAACCTATTAATTAAAAATGAATGATATTTTAAGTGTACAAAAAAGATCATTTAAACGTCACCACATGCACACGCGCAAGCCTATATATATGACAGAAACGATAAATTTTTCCAAATATAATCTTATAATATGTATATTAACTGACTGGTATTTTGCTGTTGTTTGCGGTGATGGCGATGTTTAGTTTTCATCAAAACACAGCCTTGCATGGGCCTGCATATACGTACACAACCACAGTAGAACTTACAGTACCGATAATGCCCTGACCAAAAAATTTCCGTCTCTTTTTTGATCTTTTTAACTTAGTTTAATGTTTCAACTTAGGTTAGATTTGAATGAAATGATCTCTATAAACTATAAGTATACTGTGGAAATAAAACACATGCAGCTGTAATTATACCCACGGGTACCTACATGGAATATAGTCATGTTAAAAAATTTCTATGCATTTGTTTCCTTCTATTAACTTTCTATGAAGAACAGTTTTGGGAAAATTTAATTGCCCTCGTGGAACATACGTGTATATCGCTGTGCTAATATTGCCGTTGGGAGTTCTTGCTGGAATTGACCGTAACGAAAAAGATGGCGGCATGAGTACATTTTACCAGAATGCATTGCGGGCATTAAGAATGATTGACTGAAAAAAGATGGCAAGAAAAACTCCTAATGATGTGAAATTTAAACACAGCGAAGAAAATTACTTCCTGTTTTACGACTGTCCTTTAAAAGACATCAGTTCGCTTTTTGAACGATTTCCGACCGCAATGCATTCTGGTAAAATTTACACCTGGCAAAAGCGAACTGACGTCTTGTAAAGGACAGGCTTAAACAGGAAGTTATTTTTCTCGCTGTATTAAAATTTCACGTTTAAAAATCAACTGAAGTTTGGGAAAAATGAAATAGAAGCGAAACGATATTTGCATGCGATTGAAAAGAGTATCAAATCTATTCAGTATAGATTATTTCATTTCTCCCCTCATGGTTGTCCCTATAATGTTGTATGTATGATATATATTGTATATTGCTGACTGCATGATGTGTCGCCAATCTACTTTTCGCGTTCAGAATTTGAACTTTGATCAGCTATATACCTTAATTAATATTTAAATTTTTTAAAATGATTATCATATCTTGCTGTAAGGAATTTTCAAACGTTGTGTTATAGGAATTCTCGAAACTATGATCTTTATTTAATTGAACGTCGAATCGTCGATGGAAAATACACCATTGGCATTGCAAACCAGGAAGTGAATTGATCGAGTGAGGATTTTCATCAGTAATAGCTACATCTCTTTGGTGCATGCAATCGTAATACTAGAAAGCTTTTCATATTTGCATGCGACTGCCTACCAAAATGCGACAATTAACCTAACAAAACAACTATTTGATTTTGTAATTATACCTCAAAGCATAAAAAGCACTTTGAATTAAACGAATAAAGATTCTTTGTAGCATTGAGAACAATATAGAGTGAACTTGTCAAGCCTACATATAGAGCCCGCATTACTGCATTATGGCTAAATTATATTAGAGTGCTGCACTGAGCTTATTAATTGCTGCCGGGTTTGCAGGATTAAATCTTGCGACAGGACTTACAGCTACGTAGCTACATTTGTCTACTTCTACGAGGTCTCAAAAGGCTGAAGTGATGATGTAAAATGTTCTTGTGTAACGGCACTTTCTAGCCGGTATAAATAACATACATTTATTTATTCTAAGAACCAAGACCAACATTGTTATCGATAACAAGATCAACTTCACTTTCATCATCAAGCACATGTTGCGTATCGAATTAACCCGTGTGATGGATCAGGATCAGGTATATATCGCGTACATAGCCTGCAAATGCAATGTTACAGGGCTACTACAAGTGCGGTAGGATTTCTACTTTCTGAAAAATACCGAATATCAAGCATCTATAATGTGTTTAACTGTGTCAAAAAATGTTATATTGTTTTGTCTATCTACTTATCATCACGCATTGCACAGGGCACAGGGTATACTAATTTGGCATGACAAATCGCCACACACGTGCTGCCGAAAGGATCATACTTACTTCGTTATGTTTCCGAATCAAACTTTCAAAAAAAAACATGTAATCTACGCGTTTTACATATATTTATAATGTTTTTGGCTTTAGAAAATTCTGTTACTAAGAATATGATTTTATTTACCGTCATGAAACTAGAATGAATGGCGACAACATTGCTACAGCTTTACGCATACAGTGTATATTCAGTTGGCGCTTGCTAAATATTCCAAGAAATTTCGTCAAAAAGAAGAAAAGCGTATAATGACACTTACCATAGTGAGTGTTACGTGCATTATATAATTACCGTAAATTAATTTGGATATAACATATCCCAATTACTGAATTACGATACTGTACATCATATCCTAACTTGGTCAAATTGTAGAAATGTTATTGACTTTAAAAATCAATGGGCCATCCCTTGTATATTAACTTTGACTTTTTAGAAAAGGCAGATCCAGCAGTATCGAATGACGGTGAAACAAAATGGTATATCGTCGTGGTATCATTATTGTTTGGAATAATCATTGGAGTTCTTTTTTCCTACATTTTCTTATGTTCCTGCCGTAAATTTAGAAGAAGAGAACCTCAGCAAACAAACCATGAACCTTCAGCATCTCATGTTGAATCAACTTATCAAGAACTGGACCTTAAAAAAATGGACGAAGAACATAGTTATCAATCATTAACAGTAAATGGTGTTAAAAAGGACTGTACGGAAAACGACGAGCCTACTTATACTGATTTAGGCAAAACTAGAGATGTTGAAAACAACTATCAATCTTTAAGTTAAAAGATGTCGGCTTTCCTTGCGGGCCGGCTCAAAAAAACACACTTCGAAAACAATATTTTATACTGAAACACGAAATATTATCTTGAGATCTTGCACTGGTGCATGTTATTTTGCCACTATTTTAAATAATATCTGTTTTCCGCCGCATTGTCATTAAACATATACGAATTTATACGAATGCATATGTTCCCAGGTTTTTCGCGTACTGCGTCTGCCGAATAGACCTTTCTTATAATGACGTCTATAAAGTTTCGGTTAAAATTTTTTTGCTTTTGGAGAATAAAAAACTTCAAAAAATCGCACTGCGTTGCCAGGTCACGTCCAGCTCTTTCAGTTTTCAAAGGGATAATGAGGAGTGTTCTATGCCACACCGGATCCCCTAAATTGGAAAAATTGCATAGAGGAATTCCCCAGTAAGGAATTTCACATTACATATCAGGAATTCTGGGATCTGGTCAAAACTCAAAACACATCACACCTCCCTCTGACCCTCTCCCACCACTCAAATAGAATCTATGCCTATGGCGACAAATTATGGCGAAAAAATAAAATATACCTTCAAGGATGCAGGAAAAGGAAATTCAGAGGATGTTCTTGCTGAAAATTGACCAAGATAACGTCGTTGTAGGTTATATTCTATTTCTATATGTTGATTTCCATGCGGGGTTCCAAACTTAGGCTTTCTATTCATAATAATTTTCGTAAATAATGTGCATTTCTTCGAAGTTGCTGTGGGCGTGCGAAGCGCGTACGTACATTTTAAATTACACTAAAAATAAGATAATCGCTAAAATGTTCGCTATTCAATTAAAATTTCGAATTCTGTTTTAGTTGCAACAAACAAGATAAGGTAACATCAGCTTCTGAATATGTGTGGTATTTCACATTTGTGAAATCACTGAAATGATTATCGCTTATTGGGTATAGATTATCGCTTATTATGCAAAGAACTACAGCGATATCGATATGAATATGAATAATACGTAAAGTTCCGAGCATTAGCCTCATTCAAACATTGCACTTTATGTTACGAGTGGGAAATTTTAGTGCGCTTAGTCAAGAAATGAAATAGGTTTACTATTTAGAATTTTAAGTCGAAGGGAGTTTGTTATATTGACTAATTTTGACTTTGGTTTTTGTATCAGTACTTGGATATCGATTGTTGTATTGTGAGGTAATGGGGTATATTATGTTAACTTAAAGTTGTGCATTTAGGAAGTTAGGGAAAGCTTTAGACGTTGTAAATGGATTGTCTTTCATCACATTTTATTAAAGGCAGATGGATTGTTTATCAAAAGAGCATTGTTACACGGTGCAATTTTTCTTGCAACTTGCAATGCAATTCTACTTTTAAGAGATGTAAATTAGTGAAGAGTCTTCAAAATTTAAGTGTAAGTCACTGGTGTAAGTAATGGCATCGAGTGTAATAAAGATAAAAATTCGGTAGTTGCCAAATTTACATCTCTCAAAAGAAGAATTGCATTGCAAGCAAAAAAGAAAAATTACACCGTGTAACAGGGCCTTAAAGTTTACAGTAGCTAAAGTTCATGCTATAGATAGGAACAGCTCACACATAGATTAGAATTTTTAACAAGCCCCGCTTAATGCGGTGACCGTGATATGATAAAATACTACATATATTATATATATTAGGATTTACTGCATATGCTGTATATATATATATATATATGTCCTATTGTTCTTTTTTTGTTATTTTATACAAAAAATTCCTGTTGCTGATTGGCAAATTTTAATTGCACTCTGCCGACAACTTTTTTCCACCTGCATAATTAACCATTCTTGATGCACTCTTGAGTGTTTTAAAGTTTGCAAAAAAGAACTTGCCCTACAGACTAGCACTATTTTCATGTCTTTAAAATAGTCACTCTTGCATGTTTATCCAGAGTTCTACTCTAAACTAAACTACATATTACTATTGCCTATACATATTATATTCCCTAACATTAACTGCTCTGATATTGTTATTGGCATTCTGACTGTGAATAATTCTTATTTTAAACTAAATTTAAAACAAGAAAAATTCAACAGTAGAAATTTGAATTTATTTATTTTGAATAAGGAAAAGTCCATTCTGTGCCTTTAAAATCCCAACATTCTATATGAATCACTTTCTAGAATTCAAATTCTCCATACCCAAAACAGCTTGAACTGATATAATGCTTGTTTCTGGATTTCTCATCTTATTTGGCATCATCCTTGGCTGGTTCCCATGTGAAGGTAGGGTTTTTTATTTTCATTTTAGTTTGTTGAAATTAAAATTGTTTAAACACTGATCATTGCCTTTACGGACAGAACCGAAATAAATTTATTACATCAACACCAGAACTTATTAACTTCATGATTGCTATTTGCTAGCTTTTTTATACTTCCAGCCAGAACAGCAAACAGAATTTTGATTACCAATAAAGGTGGCACTGATTTCTAGAACTCAATTTCTATTCTGCAGTTCATTTTCTCATAAATTTGCAAAAATTAATTAATCTGCTTGGCCCAGAAGAAACTACTGCACTCATTTATTCTGCTAGCCAATCAGGGGCAAACTGGAGTAAAACTGTGTGATTTTTACATGCACATGTTAAATTATTATATGTTTAATGTTTAAAAGAATTTTGGATTTTCATGTTTAGGTCAAATCACCTCGCCGCCTTATGGAAAATCTTATGTCACCTTTAATGGAGCAACAAAAAATATAACCTGGTCGTTTAATGGTGATCCAAGTGAAGTAATTTCCCGGGCTTGGTTTTTTACAAGTAGTAATGGCGTATTCCATGATCACGAACTTGGAACCATAATTAAGGATGGCCCACCAAATAGATCAACCAGTTTATTTGATGTTGAAATTAAAAAACCAGGAACATTGCTTTTAAAGAATGTTAATGAAACTTATGATGGAACATACAGGTTTGACCTTTCAGCACCTGGCGGGGCTGAATCAAGATCAGTTGTTATTTTAATTGCAAGTGAGTAGTTTTATTAATTATTCAGATTCAGATTGAGAAGATAAAGTTGAAATCGAGGATGCGGAATGACAAGGTCAGCCGCAAGAAAATTGCGTGAAAATTGGCGAGACATTTGCAGTATCAGTCATGCGTTTTTATATCGTCTTTCACGTCTGCGTCTTCTGTCTGTCTGAAACAATATATACTTTTTATTATTGCATCTACTATAAAATGCGGACATCCTCCAACACTATTTTCACAAATCAGTCGGCGAAGTTAAACTAGTGGGGTTCTGACCTTGAGCTTCGTTTTTATGCCTGGCTCATTTTCTCTTAAGATATGTTTTAACTATAGGTTTTTCTCACGCATATTTTCGAAAAAATTTTCAAAAGCTCGTAAGAAACATAGTCTGTTTCGTTTAAGGTGGTGGTCCTATATAAATGGAAAATTTTTTTCGGCCGCAATCTTTATATAAAACATCTATTGGTCTATTCTATACTTTCTCAAGTACCATAAAATTTTAATTCCATTAAAACAGGTTCTCTCAATTTTCTCCATCCACATTCAGCGTAAATTTCCGGAAGACTTTCGTCTTTTTTGATGAAATTAGTACTCTCGCACTTTAGTACCTTTTCCTTTGACGTTTGTTACTTCGTTATTGCTTAGTAGCTACGGTTGAAAATCCGACACATTACTGTGTGACTCACGCAGTGATAATATTTATAACCTCGATAACATGAGCGTGTACTCAAAGGTTTTCCATTTCTGCAGATCAGCTCCAATGGCCGGTTATTATTGTTAAGGTTGGGTTTGTTCTGCGACAGCTTTTCTTTAATTTGACTCATGTGACTTTACCTACATTCAGCCCTTGAAACTAAACCGCAACAATAACAATTTGTGTCCTAATGAAGATCCTTCAGTAACCTCGTTACGATCTTTAGTCGTGAAAATTTTGCAATATTGTGATAAGTGGCAAAAATTAAGACGAGTCAGTCAAATATGCATTCAATCATTAAGTTAGTTTTCCAGTAAGTTAGTCATAGTGTAAACCTTTTAGACGATGTGTGCGATTGATGTTCGTGTTGATTCATTGTGCATGGTCCGTCATTGAAAGATTATTTAATTAATTTTAGTTGTCTGATCTAAATGATCTGTAGTCTTTTTGCCATGCAAGTTCCCAAAAATGTCGAGCAATCTTTGGCCTTGTTGTATATTTTATAATGTACTCGTAAAACATACCGAAATTTCAACAATTAAGGTAAAGAATAACGAAACCAACTGTAAAGTACATTCCTCCGGTGTTTTCTAACGCGCCGACAATTGCCTGATAATGACGCTCGAGTGACGGTCTGCTATGTTTAATAGTAAAGTCGGAAAATTTTTATCATTTATATACCTGGAGACTGCATGGAGATGGTAATTCGGGGAAATATTCCCCGAGGAAAGTCTATTGTTCGTTACTGGCCAAATCTCAATATTATCTAGCTATTTCAGCCGTACTTATAGCACAAGTTACCAGTAAAATATAGATCTTTGCCTTCTGTCAGTCAATGAATTTGCCATCCAATGTAATACATACGGATTGGTGCTGGTGGTAATTTTAGTCTCTTGATTCTGATACAGTTCATGCTATACGAAACGGAATCAAAAGCCTTCTGAGATTAAATGATATCACTTTATAGGTATTCAGCCAGTTTAGTTATGATAGCACGTACAGTCGTACAGTATAAGAGTATCATTTCACTTTATCTATAGGTAAATTGTTATGCACATGCATTGAAACAATTGTCACATTTGAACAATCTATATATAGTACATGCAAGTATAGACATCCTTGCGTAAAAACGCTCAGGTTGATGCAAGTTGATATAAACAGGATGGAGCAATGTTGTGCTGCCCACATTGTTCAGAGTTGTTATCAACATTGAACAATATTGTTACACCCGATTCAGTTTCAACAGTATTGTTCAATGTTGATAACAACTCTAAACAATGTGGGCAGCACAACATTGCTCCATCCTGTTTATATCAACTTGCATCAACCTGAGCGTTTTTAGGCGTGTGGGTCCATGACAATAAGATGGTCAGCGCATGTCTTCATAAAACAATGTTTAGATTTGAAATCCAATTCGACGATCTTATATTTCCTGCTCAATTCTTGATTAACAATATTTAGGGTTGTAGTGAGCCAAATAGTATAGTGAGTCAAATATCTTCAGCACACAAATATGACTTTCAGGTCGTAATACCTGTTTTAATTTATGTTTAAATAAATTTCAGAGAAACCATCTGTGATGTTGAATTGTCGCAGTCCCGTCATGCTAAATGAAGGTGATAACTTCACATGTCTGTGTAAAGGTGAAGGTGGAAGTCCTCCTGCTAAAGTTGTCTGGTTTAATGATGGAGTCAACGTTAGTCTTGTTGGAACAAAGAATCAAGCATTAAAACTCTTAAATGTTAGTAAAGAAGATAATGGAACATACACGTGTAATGCCACAAGTTACCCTCATGAAAATTATACCGATGAAAAATCTATCGTGGTAATAGTTTATAGTAAGTATCGACATGTTTGATTACTTAAGGCCGGGTGCATAGCTAATTCAATCAAGGCGATTTTTCATACGAAAATTTTTCGCTGGATTATCTTTTTAATTAGTCGCTATACGCTCGAATTCTCATGCACATTCAAAAACTTTCGTTCCATCGAAAAATTCTTCCTACATGGTGAAAAACTGTCTCACGCTTGTGCTTCAAAGTTAATATTACAAAACTCAAATCCTAACCCCTTTCCCGCAGCCTTTATTTTATCGGTGTGCAGGCGAACATAGGTTGCTATATATAGGTTGTGTATACGCTTTTGCTGACAAAAGAAGTCGACAAACCAACAACCTGGCGGCAAATTTAATGCCGTGGAGACTCACCCAACTTTCGAGTCGCCTATATCCGATACAAACAGTAAGCCTCTGCCTTTTCAGTCTTTTTATCCCTGGTTATTCGGGTACTATTATTTGGTTATTCGGTTTTTGTTAACTGAACACAAGAACGCTATAAAACGACACGACCTTAAATCTCTACCCGCAGTACACACATACGACAACTTTCACACCTTCGCCTGGACAGAAAACTCAACTTCTAGGACGAGCACAAACAAAACACGCGCGTGAATTCAAAGAAGCTTGGTTTACTACAGACGGCAATAAACGAAAGACAAAACGTAAGGACTTTATCAATAATCGCGTTAATATATGAGTAACAATAACTTAAGCCCTGATCCACCCGCATCTAACACACAACAATCAAATCGTTGCAAATCCGGATTTGTTATCTTCCTATTATTTAGGCGCATTGCTTGGGTGCTTTTAAGTTTCATCTTTTCTCTTCACGATTTCATTTTTCAGTTATACCAAATGTGACAACAGATTGCGACAGTTCCATGGCCGTAAACGAAGGCGTTGATGTCACGTGTTATTGTGAATGTAAAGGTGGCAACCCTCCAGCAAATTGTACTTGGTTTAAAAATGGTATCCTAACTGGTAAAATAGGACTGAAAGAAAACACGTTGAACCGCCCTAATATTAAAAGGACTGATGGTGGAAATTACACGTGTGTAGGCGAGAGTCACTCGTCAGCAATGGCTAAAAAGTTAACCACAATAACAGTTTATTGTAAGTAAATTATTAATTTGTTCAGACCAGCGTCAGTTGGCCTTTGGTGACTAAATTATTCAAATAGTTACATCCATTCAACCATAATCTTGGTTGCGGTTAGACCTTTTAAGACCTTTTGTTCACAAACCCATGCAGTTCCAGATCTTTGGTAAAGTGCAGCGTTCAGCTATACTTAAGAAAAAAATAGAAAGTTTTAAAACTCTAAAAACCTACCATCTTTGGTATGCGCTATACCAACTCATGCAGTCACGAGATCCATTTTGCATAGGATACAGTCAATCCATTATCGGTTAAAGTAACTGTATTATTTTAGATAGAATTGTTTTTCTGTTTATTGAAAACTGATGGGCGTTTAGAATTTGATCAAGAGGTGTGCAACTTGTTCCCTAGCGTAATTTCTGCTCTTTCATGCAATATTCTCATTTTCAAGTGGAGAAATATTTTTTTCTTTTTCTTCAGATGTTGAGGTTAACTTCTATTCCCCAAATAATGACAGCGTTACCATAACATGTACATCAAATGGTCCTCCTTTACTGGACTACACAATATACCATAACGGCACTAAAGTCGCTAGAAACATGTCGTATATCATTTCAACGGTGAACGGGACTCATCCTGGATTATACAATTGCACTGCAACTAATGGATTGGGAGAACTTTCTGCTGTCAAATTCTTAGATGCCAAGAGTAAGTTTATATTCTAGATGCCTCAATCTCTCATAAGGCACTCAAATATAGGCTGACATTGGAAGCTCTGCGGATCATGCGGATCTGATAATGCGGATCCAACCAATCTGATTAATTTTTTTTTATATATATATAAATCGATATCATATACTTTTTATAATGCAAGCACAATACAAGAGGAAAATATAAACTAGAGAAAACTACTTTATCTAATATTAATTAATATTAATATTATCTGATTAAATTATGCATGGTGTATACAGAGTTTTCAAAAAGAGTTCAACCTTCCTCCGGTAGGATTTCAAGTTTTGAAAACCTTCCTCAAAATGACGTTACATCACTGAGTCAAGTGGCAACCATGAAGCATAAAGAAATATTTTTTTTGACACAGGCATGCATGTGATCAATTAGAGTGTTCAACTTTCCTCACAAACCTCATTCAAAGCAAACCTTCCTTTAATTTTTGCAACTCTGGGTGTATATAACAGCAGGGTTTGGTTGTTTAAAAAGTAGTTGAGGTTTAAAACATTTGTCATTCGCGATGTTTTCCAGGTTTGTCAACGCGGAAAACAAAATGTGTTTGATATTGGACACTAATATACGCCGACACAGTAAATACTTTTAGCGTGCTCAATGGCCGCTTTAACCTTCATCTTACCGAAGCGTAGCGTTTTTCTTGATTTCTGAGTAGTCAGAAAAAAATACAATAATTTAAGTAAAATCTAGATGTACATTCATTTCTCATATGATTAACTAGGAAAAACGCCGTCAACAACACAGCAAATACAATCTACAATACAGCCGTCAACAGCACAACCTTTGGTACCAAGCACAACTTCAAAAGGTGATGGTAAAATGAAACGATAATGCATTCTTACTCTAGCCGGCTGTAACTGTATTATTAGAGAGGTTTAGATTTGACATCGCTACTTTTGCATAATTTTATGGGCTCGTGATTGGTTGATCCAATAGACCATTCGCATTTGATTGATTCATGTTCCGTCAATGTTGTGGTAGTGGTATTGGAAATCATATCTGAACCTCGTGCTTTTATAAGTGGCCTGTGGTTGTTGTCTGGGTGATAAATTTAGTTTGAACGCTCGAATGATTTAGTCTTAATTCTAGGAATTTTACTTGTTAGTTGTTGTCCCAGATGATGATGATGATGATGATGATGATGAAGATAAAACTGACATTGGTCTCATCGTCGGAGTGGTTGTTGGTGTGGTGGCGCTCATTGTTATCGTTTTCTGTGCGGTACTTTACTTTAAGTCCAAAGCAAGTAAGTAATTCTATCTGTTAAACCATCTTTTAGCAAGCGAAGTTTCTACTATTAGATATGATTTACCATTACCGGTTGCCATGTAGGTGTTTGAAAAACACAGGAAAAGAACAGGGGCTAGCTGTTTAATGGAGTGAATCAGATCAATCAATAGAAACTACCTAATATATCTTAACTTTTTCTTTATAAAGGTATTAGGTTTACATCTAGTACAAGTGTCGAAAATAGCACGTTTTTCGAACATCTTATAGGGAATATTGAATCAACATCCAAATGACCCTTAACCCAAAAAAATTGAGGAGAACTTTGAATTTATTGCCGTAAAAGATCCGTTGAACTCCAACCTCTAACAATAACAGGCCATTAATTGGAAATATAGTCGAATCCCATAAGGCATTAAGCCTTATTTAATATTCGAAACAAGTTGAAATAGAATGCTTATATTCGATCTATGCAATAGACCCTTTCGATAATTGCGTCATAACATTAGAGTTTTTAATTTAGTTAGAACAAGCTTAACTGAGAGGGATTTCAAGTTTAAGATGCAAAACATCCTTCTTCAACATATGTATGAAAAAGAATTTTTCATTTTGACAAAAAAGTGTGGAAATAAGCGATAGCACAAGAATGAGGCTGCCGGTCGTGGCCAGGTAGCCTCGTTATAGTGTTACGACTTATTTCCACATTTATTGGTCAAAATTAAAAATTCTTTTTCGTGTATGTGTTGAAGAAGGATGTTTTGCATCTTTGCACGTGGCTCGTTAGAGTAAAACTTGAAATCCATCTTTAAAAAATTATTGACTGCAATTCCACCAATTCTGGAATACAGTTGCGAAGTTAGGAACGAGTTATTGACCAAATACAAATCAGAGGAATGGGAAAGGATAGAAGAAAGAGTAATACTTATGTCAACTAAATTCTGTAGCTATAAGGCTAAATTAATTGCTATGCAGTTTGTCCCGTTAACCACTTGAAATATACTATATATTAACTATAATTACTCCGGCGTCAGCGACGGAGTTGAAAATTCGCCCCGGTTTTGTTTTATTGTTGTTTTTTTTCTAAGTTTAGATTGAATTGGGGTAAGAATATATTTAATACATGTAGATTTTGGTCCTATTTTAATAATATCGCTGCTATTTCGCCGTTTAACAAGATGATGTGGTCGTGTATGGGCGCGTTGAACGTCGTAGTTTGCACAGGATTGAAGATTTAATATAACTATATAAGCACGAATTCCAAAGGCAAAGTGTAAGACAAAGCGAATATATCATGCGGTTTATTTACATTTTTGAATAATTGAACTTCTATACTTTTTAAAGTACGATGTCCTTTTGAATTTCGCGATCGAACATTTAGGTTCGCAAGGCATCTAAATGCGAATATGAACTGTATTGTTTATGTTCAGAAGCTCTATATTGAAGACTGGCACGTGCGCCGGAGTTAACGCCAGAACAGGCGTCTTGTTTCATTTTAAATAAAGTTTGAAGTTTGGGAAAAACATAGCTGGCATAATAGCGCATGTGTTACGTGGACTGTTCGTGGAAATAATAAAGCGCGACTGTTCTTGGAAATAATAATAATTCAATGAAATTCGTCACCTTATAATATACGACTGCTATATGACAGATTGTGAGAACAGCAGTTTACTTCCAGGACGGTTCTCCCGCCTTTTTGCGGGCGCAGAAAGAGGACGGTTTCCAAAAACAAGAGAATTTTGATGTTCATGCCATTGAATGATATGCTAATTTACTCGACTCAAAAGTTAGTCGAAACCAATGGAAATATTTCTAAATTTCTTAGCAACGCAAATATGAGAATATGGTCTTCAATTTTTATACCAAGGTGCATTATATACTGCTTGCGCTTTTACTATAGTAATATTTTTATGCTCGTCTGCCAAACCTATGTTACATCAGTCTTGTGTAACAACCCATCTCCTTATTCAATGTTTTCACAATTGTTATCTTTTGTTTTTTAGGAGACAACAAAAGGTGGGTCATTTTTGAATTTAAAACTTTACAGTGAGACCTCATTTCGGAACAGAAGCCGGGCACTTTTACTTCTAAAAGAGAGCATATTTTTCCTTCGCTCAGAAAAGGGGGTGGCATCATTATCATGCGCCTCCAATGCCCCAGGCTCCGGTCAAATCGAGATAAAAGATGCTCTTTTTACACATTCCTATGAATCCAGTGAGCTCCGAAATGAAAGTACAGAGTTACCTCAACACTTGCCTCTCGTTTAATAATTTTTTTCTTACAATTACCCTCACGTTTCTTGGTATCCGAAAAGTTGTAAAATGCTTGTTTTGTGGTATTTTAGAGGACATGCCGACGTGAACCCGAATGGCTCAAGAGTGATGACAAACCACTACGAACTAGATGAAGATCATGGTGAGGATGCAGGCGCCTACGATACGGTGAAACAATCCGATGATGGTGAAGGCTCGCAGGATAGGAAGAAGCCTGCTGGAGACTCACTCCCCCCCGTTTATGCCTCGGTAAATAAAGACAACAGACAAGGGAACACGGTATGTGAAGAGAAGAAACATGATTTCACAAAGAGTTGAAGTGTGTACATTTTGCCAGAATGCATGACCCGGAAAGAAGATTGTTTTGCATCAGCTGGTTTTGTGCTATAGTCCTTCAAAAATGCCTGTTTCATTTGCTTATATATGCAGTTTTTGAATTTTAAAACTATCCTGGTATACATTTCCGCTTTCTTATTGTGATGAAATTGAAAAATTTGCTTGACCACGGTGGGACTAATTTTCAGTTTGCCCGGTTTATAACTCACAGTAGCACCATAACAATATGAATTCACCTAACTAAGACATACACACAGCCATCATCCACAGTCTTGTTTGCAATGGTGATTTAAAAACAGAATGAACCAGATAATCTATTGTGGTGCAACGGTGTAAGATAAGGTTTGTCATCTGAATGATGGTTGGAGGTACTTATCTTCAATTTACTAACTTTATTGACATCATATCATAATATGTAATATTGCAATGTGTGATAATAATCAACCTATAGAATGCCTCATCACTAACAACAATGCACGGGAGAGGGATATAATCAGGAACAGTCTGAAAATTGGACTGTATGTAGACAGTTAAGCAGATTCTACAAAACCTTGCTTGATTGAGAAGCTTCCTGCTAAATCCATTGGATTTGACGTTGAAATTTGCGCCCTTTCTGAACGCACTTTTACTAAGCATTAGGGGAGAGGAACCCCATTAATATGATATACAAAGTACAGTATAAGCATAGGACAAAGAGTTGTGTGTTCCTACCGACAATATAGATCATATCATCACTATATATTACAATCTTAGACAATCAGTTTTATTACAATCTTAGACAATCAGTTTTATTACAATCTTAGACAATCAGTTTTATTACAATCTTAGACAATCAGTTTTATTACAATCTTATACAATCCGTTCTATTAACTGTGGTTTCCCCCTTACCTCAAAAGCGTTCTATTTTGCAGCTGTATGCAACTCTGGACTCTGAAGCGTTGAGGAAGCCTGGGTCAAAGAAAAAACAACCGGAAACAAAAAATGCACCAACTGAGTACGCGAGCATCGACTTCATGCAGAGCGGGAAGACACCAAATGCAGATAATGCATAAACATAACTGGAGATGGCAAAGAGTAAGTGAGTTATTTTAGTTATTTTTATTTAAGCTCGGTTCTCAATAGTTATATAGT